TAAAGCAAGTTCTTAACGACCTACAATGAGACTTAGACTCCCACACAATAATAGTGGGAGACTTTAACACTCTGTTGTCAATATTAGACAGATGAACAAGACAGAAAATTAACAAGGATATCCAAGACTTGAACTCAGACCTGGACCAAGCAAACCTAATAGACATTTACAGAACTCTCCACACCAAATCCACAGCACCACATCACACCTACTCTAAAATTGTCCACATAATTGGAAGTAAATAACTCCTAAGCAAATGCAAAAGAACGGAAATCATAACAAGCAGTCTCTCAGATCACAGTGCAATCAAATGAGAACTCAGAATTCAGAAACTGAGAACTGCACAACTTCATGGAAACTGAACAACTGGCTCTTGAATGCTGATAAACAATGAAATGAAGGCAGAAATAAAGATGTTCTTTGAAACCAATGAGAACAAAGACAAAATGTACCAGAATCTCTGAGACACATTTAAAGCAGTGTCTAGATGGAAATTTATAGCAATAAATGCCCACATGAGAAGCAAGGAAAGATCTAAAATCGACACCCTGTCATCAAAATTGAAAGAGCTGGAGGAGCAAGATCAAAAAAAACCTCAAAAGCTAGCAGAACACAAGAAATAACTAAGATCAGAGCAGAACTAAAGGAGATGGAGACACAAAAAAACCTTCAAAAAAATCAATAAATTCAGGAGCTGGTTTTTTGAAAATACCAACAAAATAGACCACTAGCCAGATTAGTAAAAAAGAAAAGAGAGAAGAATCAAATAGATGCAATAAAAAACGATAAAGGGGATATCACCACAGATTCCACAGAAATACAAACCACCATCAGAGATTACTACAAACAACTCTATGTATATAAACGAGTAAACCTGGAAGAAGTGGATAAATTCCTGGACACTTACATCCTCCCAAGCCTAAACCAGAAAGAAGTCAAAACCCCGAACAGACTGATAGCAAGGGCTGAAGTTGAGGCAGCAATTAATAGCCTACCAACCAAAAAAACTCAGGTCCAGATAGGTTCACAGCTGAATTCTACCAGACATACTAAGAGGAGCTGGTACCACTCCTTCTGAAACTATTCCAAACAATCCAAAAAGAGGATATCCTCCCCAAATCTTTTTATGAGACCAATATCATCCTGATACCAAAACCCAGCAGAGACTCAACAAGAAAAGAAAACTTCAGGCCAATATTCACGATGAACATAGATGCAAAAATCTTGAATAAAATACTGGCAAACCAATTGCAACAGCACATCAAAAAGCTTATCCATTACGATCAGGGAGGCTTTATCCCAGGGATGCAAGGCTGGTTCAATATACGCAAGTCTATAAATGTAATTCACCACATAAACAGAACCAAAGACAAAAACCACATGATTATCTCAATAGATGCAGAGAAGGCCTCTGACAAAATTCAACAGCCCTTTATGCTAAAAACTCTCATTAAACTAGGTATCAATGGACTGTATCTCAAAATAATAAAAGCGATGGATGACAGACCCACAGCCAGTGTCATACTGAATGGGCAAAACCAGGAAGCATTCCCTTTGAAATCTCACACTAGACAAGGATGCCCTCTCTCCACTCCCACTCAATATAGTATTAGAAGTTCTAGCCAAAGCAATAAGGCAAGAAAAAGAAATAAAGGGTATTCAAATAGGAAAGGAGGAAGTCAAACTGTATTTGTAGATGATATGACTATATATTTAGAAGACCCTAACGTCTCAGCCCCAAATCTCCTTAAACTGATAAGGATCTTCAGCAAAGTCTCAGGACACAAAATCAATGTGCAAAAATCACAAGCATTCCTATACACCAATAACAGACTTAAAGAGAGCCAAATCAAGAATGAACTGCCATTCACAATTGCCACAAAGAGAATAAAATACCTAGGAATACAACTAACAAAGGATGTAAAGGACCTCTTCAAGGAAAACCACAAACCACTGCTCAAGGAAATAACAGAGGACACAAACAGATAGAGAAACATTCCATGCTCATGGTTAGGAAGAATCGATATTGTGAAAATGGCCATACTGCGCAAAGCAATTTATAGATTCAATGCTATCCCCATCAAGCTACCAATTACCTTCTTCACAGAACTGGAGAAAAGCACCTTAAACTTCATATGGAACCAAAAGAAAGCCCACATAGCCAAGTTAATTCTAAGCAAAAAAGAACAAAGCTGGAGGCATCATGCTACCTGACTTCAAACTATACTACAAGGCTGCAGTAATCAAAACAGCATGGTACTGATACCAAAACAGAGATATATAGCCCAATGGAACAGAACAGAGGCCTTAGAGGCAATGCCACACATCTACAACCATCTCATCTTGGACAAAAACAAGCAATGGGGAAAGGATTCCCTGTTTAATAAATAGTGCTGGGAAAACTGACTAGCCATGTGCAGAAAGCAGAAACTGGACACCTTACACTAAAATTAACTCCAGATGGATTAAAGACTTAAATATAAGACCTACCACCATAAAAATCCTAGAAGAAAACCTAGGCAAAATCATTTAGGACATAGGCATAGGCAAGGACTTCATGACTAAAACACCAAAAGCATTGGCAAAATAGCCAAAATAGACAAATGGATCTAATTAAACTCCAGAGCTTTTGCACAGCAAAAGAAACAATCATTAGAGTGAACCAGCAACCAACAGAATGGGAAAAAATTTTTGCAATCTACCCATCTGACAAAGGACTTATATCCAAAATCTACAAATAACTAAAACAGATTTACAAGAAAAAAAGAAACAAACCCAATCAAAAGTGGGCAAAGGATATGAACACTTTTCAAAAGACATATATGAGGCCAACAAACATATAAAAAAATGCTCATCATCACTGGTCATTAGAGAAATGCATATCAAAACTACATTGAGATATCATCTCATGCCAGTTAGAATGGCAATCATTAAAAAATCTGGAGACAACGGATGCTGGAGAGGATGTGGAGAAACAGGAACACTTTCACACTGTTGGTGGGAGTGTAAATTAGTTCAACCATTGCAGAAGACAGTGTGGCGATTACTCAAGGACCTAGAAATAGAAATTCCTTTTGACCCAACAATCCCATTACTGGGTATATATCCAAAGATTATAAATTGTTCTATTATAAGGATATATGCACACGTACGTTCATTGCAGCACTGTTTACAATAGCAAAGACTTGGAACCAACCCAAATGCCCATCAATGATTGACTGGACAGGGAAGATGTGGCACATATACACAATGGAATACTATGCAGCCATAAAAAACTATGAGTTTGTGTCCTTTGTAGGTACATGGATGAAGCTGGAAACTATCATTCCCAGCAAACTGACACAGGAACAGAGAGTCAAGCACCGCATATTCTCACTCACAGGCAGGTATTGAACAGTGAGAACACATGGACACAGGGAGGGGAGCATCACACACTGAGGTTTATCGTGGGGTACTAGGAGAGGGACAGTGTGGTGCAGGGAGTTGGGGAGGGATAAAATGGGAGAAATGCCAGATATAGGTGATAGGGATGGAGGCAGCAAATCAAATTGCCATGTATGTACCTATGCAACAATCCTGCATGTCCTTTACATGTACCCCAGAACTTAAGTGCAATAAAATATATATTTAAAAAAAAACCGGGCCGGGCGCGGTGGCTCACGCCTGTAATCCCAACACTTTGGGAGGCTGAGGTGGGGGTGGATCACGAGGTCAAGAGATTGAGACCATCCTGGTCAACATGGTGAAACCCCGTCTCTACTAAAAAATACACAAATTAGCTGGGCATGGTGGTGCGTGCCTGTAATCCCAGCTACTCAGGAGGCTGAGGCAGAATTGCCTGAACCCAGGAGGCGGAGGTTGCGGTGAGCCGAGATCACGCCATTGCACTCCAGCCTGGGTAACAAGAGCGAAACTCGGTCTCAAAAAAAAAAAACCTTGAAAGAAATGTATATGTTATTCATTATGACCAAGTACAATTTATTGCTGGGATGGAAGGATGGTTCAATATATGCAAATCAACCAATATGATACATCATATCAACAGAATGAAGGATAAAAAACCTTATGATCATTTCAACCGATGCTAAAAAGCATTTGATAAAAGTATAATCCTTATATGATCCAGGGATCTCACTTCTGGATATATTTCAATTCATAAGAATTAAGATGAGAATCTCAAAGAGACATCTATTCTCCTATGTTAACCTGTAGCACTGTTTGCAACACCCAAGACAGGGAAATAACCTAAATGTCCATCAACAGATGAATGAATAAAGAAAATATGATATGTACATATAATATTATGAATATTATTCAGCCTTAGAAGGAGATTCTGCCATATGCTACAACATGGGTTAACTTGAAGGGTATTATGCTAAGTGAAATAAGCTATTCATGGAAGGACAAATATTGCATGACTCCGCTTGTATGAGGTATCTAAAAAGGTCAGTCATAGAAACAGAGATTATAATGTTGGTTGTCAGGGGTGAGGAAAGGGGAAAATACAAGAGTTCTTATTCAACAGGTATTAAGTTTCAGTTATGCAAGATGATTAAGTTATAGAGATCCACTGTACAATATTGTTAACTATATTGTTAATAATAAAGTCAGCAATATTGTATTGCACACTTTTAAATTTGCTAAATGTTCTTACCATAATAAAAAAATCAAAATTAAAAAAAATACATTTCTCAATTTTTTAATAAAGTTAAACTGAACTATGAACTTAGGAGCTGAGAGGGTAAGCTGGGAGAGCTTGAAATGAAAACTCCTATAATGAATTAACTAATGTATTATAAAGAACAGAAACAAGGGCAGCAAATATAAAATAAAATTCTGTTTAACTTCATAAATGAGTAAGGAACACTATGTTTTATTTACCGGCATGGATAATGACTATGGGTGTGTTCACCCATAGTGATTCATTAAGCTTATGATTTATAACCTTTTCTGTAAGTAAATTATAAGGCAATAAAAAAAAATAAAAAACAAGTACATACTCTTTGTTCTGGCATTTGTAGACATGATTGAGAGCAGAATAAACATGAAGAATAGATATAATGCTTTTCATGTTTAGGGATTCAGGTTCCTCTACTATTCTCTTCATAAACAGATCCATTAAATCAACAGGTTGAAAACCAAGGTTTTCAAATGAAATGAGAAGAAAAAGAACCTTAAAAAGAGAAAATTGAGGGAAAACTCTTTAATAATTAGAGTATGCTAACAGTAATTTTTTGGATCTCAAAAAAATCTAACTAGTAATTCAACTGTCCTGATCAATGGGAGATAACCTGAAAAGGAACAATTATCGCTCCCTCAGGAAATCTGTACCATTAATTCTTGAATTGTGCATCAAGTTAATAAGCAATCATTTTATAAGCAGAGAACCAGAGCATACAATGGTTTCTATGTTTCCATTTCATTTAAAAATAAACCCTTTCCTACATCACTTTCATACCACAGATCTGAAAATTACTTTTAAATATGCCTTTTCTGAAGGTTTTCAGAATGACCAACTCATTCTTAAACTCCTCCCATTCCCAAACTTAAAAACTTCCTAGATTCTAACACGTAAGACATAACCCCCAAATTTCTATATTTAATATTAATATCTGTATGTGAGAATGGAACTGAAACATTACGATTAAAATAGCCTCTCAATCTTTTTTCCTTAGGATGATTACTTCTCTTTCCATAACCAATTTCCACGGTAAACTCAATATTCAACTTGCTCTCCAAAATAAACTGAACCTAGAGATCTAACAAAGTTATCACCTATTTCATTGCAAAAAGAAGTTTTTGCCAGCTGCTTCATTTAGATGTTTATATTCTTAACACAGCTCCTGATTTTAAAGGCTTTTACTCTGAACAAAACAATGGACATGACCATAAGTAGTGATATTTTATTCTTCAAAAACCATAGCCTGTCACATCATCCATCTTTATTATTCAAAATCTATCAAGAAAAAAGTATAAACACAAAATGATGCTAAATATCTAATCAAAGTACCCCATAAAACCCTTTAAAACCAAATAGAAGAGCAAACTTTGGACAATATTATTTTTGTTTAAAATAGAAAGATGACCAAAAGTCAGAATACTATACAGATGATCCCTGACTTATGGTGGGGTATATCCCAACAAACTCACCATAAATTGAAAATATTGTAAATCAAAATGCATTTTACATCCAACTTACTGAATATCATAGCCTAGCCCAGCCTACCTTAAACATGTTTAGAACTTACATTCACCTATAGTTGGGCAAAATCAGTTAACAAAAAGCCTATGTTATACTAAAAGTGTTGAATAGCTCAGGTAATTTATTGAATACAATATACACTGTTTACCCTCATGATGGTGCAGCTGACTGGGAGCTGCGACTTGCTGCCACTGCCCAGCATGAAAAGAGAGTATCATACAACATATCACTAACCCAGGAAAACATCAAAATCAAAAAAGTATGGTTTCTACTGAATGCGTATTGCTTTTGAAACATCAAAAAGCCAAAAAATCATTAAGTCAACCCATCCTAAGTTGGGGACTATTCATATTAGCAAGTAGCCCCCAGACAGGAATAATAAGGAACTAATTTCTCAAAAGTCAATTCAGCATTAGAGTATCTGGATATCTTATCCACTGTAAAGGTGAAAGAGAAATATTTAAAATGCTAAATGAATTAGTACGTGTTTTAAAAGTTTTGTGAGGCTTATTCTAAATTGTTAATATACTCACTTTTTTGAACTTCCAGATGTCAAAAGTTGTAGCCACATAATCCGCTAGTCCCTTGAAGAGATCTAAATTATAGTATCGGAGGTCTGAGCAGGACTGCAATATGTTGATCATTATTTTTAAAGGACACCCATGGATATTACCTTTAAGAATGAGTTAAAAAAGCAAACAAAGATTACCAGATTGTTTTGAATGCAAGCTACAACATGCTTTATTCTTTTTTTTTTCACATAAAACCAAAGTTTTTAAAACAAAACAAAAATAGTCTAAAACAGAAGGTCAGGTGTTATAAGTGATGGAAGAAAAATTCCCCTTACCTAGGACCATCTTACTGCATTCATTCAGGAGTATAAGAGATCGATGATTCATGGCAGCTAGTACCTCAAACATGTGCTGGCTATTCACAACAGAAAATCTGTCTAATTCCTTCAAGGCTTTCATCTAAAGAAAAACAAACTTAAATTTAATTTACTATCTGTCGCAAAATAAATTAAACTTTTATTTTTATTGACACAGGGTGTTTCTCTATCACCCAAGTTGAAGCCTCAATCTCCCAGGCTCAATTGATCCTCCTGCCTCAGCCTCCCATGTAGCTGGGATTACAGGCATGCACTACCACGCCTGGTTAATTCTTTGATTTTTTTTTTTTTTGCAAAGACAGGGTCTTGCTCAATTACCCAGGCTGGTCTCAAACACCTGAGCTCAAGAGATCCCCCTGCCTTGACATCCCAAAATGCTGAAATTACAGGTGTGAGCCACCATGTCTGGTCTAAACTTTTATTTTTAAATCAAAAAGATGATGTTTGGGTAAAATGACCAAGACAAATAGATAAACACATATACATTTATATATACACAGATAAATAAATATAAGGGTACTTCTATTAATTCACTTTAGCAAAGATATACCTAAAAGCCCAACAATGCCCTCTTAGAAAATTGACTTCAAGCAGTCATAGCAGGTTACAAAAAATAATTTTTCCAAATCTCATCCACTAGAGAAAATTCATGTGTTTACCTCCAGTTTCCTCTTAAGAGCATTCGGTGCATCTTTTCCAATACATTTCATCACAGCTTGTAATGTTAAGACATCTTCTATTTTCCAAACTTGCTGATCAGCTAGTATTCTGTTATCAAACACAGTAAATATTACAATCACAGAATCTTCACAGCAGAAGAAAAATCTTAAAATTTCACTTGGTCCAGCTCCTTCTTACAGGAAAGGATTATGAAACCCAGAGAAATGATCTACCTGCCCAAGACAGTGTAAGTAGTAAAAGATTGAGAACCAATCTATTAATAGCACTATTTTCTCTCACATTATTGTACTGCCTTTACTAAGGAACAAATTAAATTACATCAGGAGATTATAGTAGCATATCCTATGCATAGTCAAAGTAAAAGGGAATTAAGTGTTACTCTCACTAATCTATGATGTTAGATCAGTTATATTAATTTTATAAATTCCGTTTCAAGCTGGGCCAGTGTCAAATAACCCTCACATAGTGCCTGAATAACTCTTCTGAATATACATATCAATTTTTTCCCACCCACATCAGTACTATGTTTTAAAATAAATTAATTTAGATGTCCATGTTACTAACATCTTTGTTATTATGGACCCTAAAAGAAGCATTTCCAACCTTATGTCATCCAGAGTCAGGATTTTAAGCTTAATAAGGCATTAAAGACTGTAACTAGCAAAAAGCCTCCCCAACTCTTCCCCTCAAGAAAACAGTTTAGTTTTCATCTCAATTTTTTATTCCAGATTTAAAAGGAACAAAGAAAACCACATGAAGAAAACATAAGAGAGTTCTCACCTGAATCCTGCTTGTAGAACATGAACATTCCTGCATGGCTCCATTGCCTCTAAAACAGTTGACAAAACTGAAAGGCACACGTCATCACACTCATTGATACGTTCCTATTGAAATAGAATTACAAAAGTACTACAGGTGATGAGCCCATAGTAAACTATCTCATCCAAGCAAAACCACTGAACTGACATACTGAATACAAGGACTAAGTATCAAACCAACAATTCCCACAGTCCGTCCACAATAAACAGCATCTTCAGGAAATAAAAAGTCATACTTACCGAATTTTCCAGCTAACTGATAGACATCCTTTTATGTATCAACACTTTTTTACCTTCACTATTATCACTGAAAACATATTTGATATTCATTATATTCCACTGCTTCTGAAACAACTTCTATTAAACATTATTTTTACCTGTTTTTGGAACCCAAGGTCATTACAAAGGCGAAAACAGTTAAAGTGCAGGAATATAACAATTACAGAGGTATAGAAGGTAATTAGCCCATCTCTAAAGATTCTTAAATGGTTGTGCCCTTACGATTTTCCTAGATCCCTTCCTGAGTATCAAGCTGAAACTCTACTTGTGAATCTTCTAATTCACATCTCCTGCCACATTCTGCCACTACTATCTGGGTCTCAAGGGAAGCCTACACCCCACAGATTCTTCTTTCAGGTCCCTTTACTTCAAGTACTAAATTAGATTCCAGAAATAACAGTGGGCATAATTGGAAGGTGAATAGTAACAACACAGCTTACCTAGTACTACTCTACAGTTTAATCACAACTAGTCTATACACCTCACAAAAGATTACATCTGAGGAAACTTAGCCTAAAAAGAGATACGCTCTTTTGCTAAAATTACATAACCAACCAATCACAAAGTTTTAAGTCAGAACCAGATGAGAAATGGATATTGTTAGAATAAAAAAACAGGTTTTTTTTACTATGAAAGGATTTCCTTAACAATTTCACAGCATTCCCTTCAATATCTCCTATGAAAGAAAAGGCCACTTGGCTATGTGTCTGAAGGGCAAATTCACTGATGGTACACTGTCCTTTCACCTCTATCTAAAATAAATGTCTTTATATTATTCCAACAGTCAGTGAGACATATCATCCATAGAGATGTTTTGACTCCAGAAATCTACTACTCAGACCTCACCAACACAGATGTCATCCCCATGTGAGTTTATCTGTCCAAACTCTAGTATCACTGCCCAGGTAAGGTGGTTTATTACAGTCACTTTTAAATAACTATATAGGGAACTAATACACAGTCTACAAATAAAATGGATATTCTGCGGTTTAAACAAATATAGACACATACACTAAAAAAAAGTTATTGCTTAAGAACATATGGATCTTTGGGTAGAGTCACAGACTTAAAAAAAAAAAAAAAGAACATATGGAAATCACAGTAATGTAAATAGTTAAAAATTTCCAAATAGCTAGAACCCAATTCTTGAATTCTATAGCAAGATAGGATACATGCCAGAATTATTATTTTCAGACAGGGTCTGGCTCTGTCATCCTGACTGGAGTGTAGTGGCACGATCACGGCTCACGGCAGCTTCGATCTCACGGGCTCAAGCGATATTCCCACCTCAGCCTCCCAAGTGGCTAGGACCACAGGCAAGTACATCACACCCAGCTAACTTTTGTAGAGACAGGGTCTCCTTATGTTGCCCAGGCTGGTCTCAAACTCCTGGGCTCAAGAGATCCTCCTGCCTTGGCCTCCCAAAGTGTTGGGATTAGAGATGTGAGCTACCACAGCTAACTAAAAAATTACTTCATTATCATTTTTAGAATTCAGAAGTGTACACTCTTAAAACATAAATGATTAAAAAGCTAATCTCTCCTTCCTTACATCTGGCACCATTTCAGTGACATTAAACACGACATTGACATTCTTGCTTTAGACTAAACATGGCTCCCTCTATCCAATTTCAACCTTCTTCCAACCCATTTTCCACTCATTCAGTTATCTAAAATACAAATTTGAGCATGTCAACTCATTGCTTAAAATTTTTCAATGGATTCCTAGTGCCAGGATAAATGCATATTCCTTAGCTAGCCATAAGAAGCTCTGGCCGGGTGCAGTGGCTCACGCCTGTAATCCCAGCAATTTGGGAGGCCGAGGCGGGTGGATCATGAGGTCAAGAAATCGAGACCATCCTGGTCAACATGGTGAAACTCCGTCTCTACTAAAAATACAAAAAATTAGCCGGGCATGGTGGCACGTGCCTGTAATCCCAGCTACTCAGGAGGCTGAGGCAGAATTGCCTGAACCCAGGAGGCGGAGGTTGCGGTGAGCCGAGATCATGCCATTGCACTCCAGCCTGGGTAACGAGTGAAACTCCATCTCAAAATCAAAAATAAAAAAAGCTCTTTTATGATTTGGTTCCTGTTCTTCCAGCCTCTTGTCCTGCACCCCCTCTCCCCAAGCCTCTTGCCCCTCACTCCTCTCCTTTGATCACCATCTACAAAATTTCTTCCCATCCCCTCAAACACACATCTCCATTATTCTGTACTTCAGCCATGCTAAACTACTTTCATCTCTTCAAATTTGCCAAATTTTTCATGTGGGAATGTTAGGGCATGCAATCCTCTCTACTTAAAACACCAGCCCCTTCCCTATCAATGTGTTCATTAGTTTAGGTATCATCTACTGGGCCTGAATCCCAATTCTACCATGGATAGATTATCTTCCTACCCTTTCCCTTCTCTCCTTCTTCAACTACCCAGCCTTTCTTTGTATATCTTGCATCTCTTCTCATTTTACCTTCTTCACCACTACTCAACTCTGCGGATGGTAAATGGGGAAGGTTTTCATAAATTTCCACAGCAGAAGGAAGAAAATAACTAGCTAACGTTAAGGCCTCCAAGTCATATAATATATATGCAAAAATAAATAAAAGGAAACTACCATTCCATTTGACAGTCTCTTTTAAGGAGGCTACATATCTATTTCCCATCATTCTTTCAAAATATTGTAAATCAAGTAAAAGCATGTTTACATCTCCTTTTTATTTTACCTGGGTCACCCTCAGCAAAGTCTGTACCAAAAGAGTGTTCTGAGGGATTCCAAGCTTCACTATGGCATGAAGGCTGAACAGCAGGTACTTATATTGCATGATCTTGGCTTCTCTCATCATATGTTCACACAGCTGATTAAATGCAGGGTGGCTAAACATCAGTTGTTTTTCAAAGCGCTTCTGTTCGTCAGACAGTCTTTTGGCAATTGTCCACATTGCTGTGAAATAGTTGCTACTAGGAAATGTAGGTGCTTTTGAAAATGTATCTAACACATCACTAAGGGAATTACACTCCTGAGACAGTGTACTATTGCTGATACGATTTGGTTTTGTTTCGTTGTTAAGAACATCTTCATTGGAGACTTCGTGATGAAAGTTTACTTTCTTCAAGCCATCATTAGATTTATCAACAGAGACAAGAGACTGCTTTGAGTCAAAAGACAATCTTCTAGCACAAAGTAGTCTGTCAATTCTAAGGGCTGTTACAGTGCTCATGCCCTTTTTTTGAAAGCCAACATCTGATTTTAAAATGAATGCATCCTGAAAGAGATATCTAATGATACCGGATGACTGCATTCTCTTATGAAAGTCATTTAAAGTGTTCCAGTCTGAATAAACTATTTTTGGTTTGCAAAGTCCCAAAGGATACAGCCTCATAGTTCTGCTTGTTGGAACGAAAGTCCTGAATTGTTTAAGGTTCCATAACAAGGAGCCTGCTTTGTTATTCATTTTGCTCTCCACTGAAACACTTCCAAAAAGCTTTAAAGTTGTCAATATGAAACCAACGTCACTTCTACTAGTGAAAAAGAAAATGTGCTGTGGTTTTCCTGTAGGGGAAGAAGTAATGAAAAGAATAAAAATTAAAGCAAAACTTTTACTTAAAGAAATGAAATGCATTTAACAGAAGAGAAAATGGGGAACTTATGGCGCTACTAAATATTTAAATTAAAAAAATTTTTTAAACTATATGGGTTCCCTCCAATATACCACAATGTGTCCAGTTTCAAAGAAGCCAGGTCATTTTCGAAGTAGTCATTGTATAAATGAGTTTTATTTAAAAAGTGAATTTCTGATGCAAAAGCGTTCCAAAAAGCTTCCTTTGTAGGAGAGATTTTTGTTGGCATTGTTATGGAAATATCCTCAAGGAAAATTAGGGGATTAACTTGATAGATCATTTTCAACATGAGGATTTAGCAACGGCCAAACCCCGACCATCAAGAATATGGATTTGGGCCGGTAGAACGGCTCAGTGGAAGAAGCAGAAAACGAAAGCGATGTTTGCAAGTGGCCTGCGCTTAAGAGGAAGATCTTAAACAACCAGCCAGCCTCACCAGGCCCCGGAACCAACGTCAAAAGGCTGTCCTTCCGCAGTTGGGCCGCCCAGCATTAACCTACCTCCTTTAAACTTAATTCCAGGACAACGCCTGAGACCTTGCTCTGCAAGGTAAAAAGTCAGGATGTGATACGTTCAACCACTCAGCCCAGGCTCGTCCTCCACTCACCTTAGGGTAGAACCCCGCGTCTACATACAGGCGCAGCCATGACAGCTTCCCCGAGAGCTGAGAGTCTCACGAGGTTTTACGGATTCCCTCAAAGGTCAAAAAGTATACGTTCGCGGTTGTAGCTGAAGGACTTACTTAAAAGCAAGCCTACCGAGGGGAATGACTAATTACCCTGGATATAGGGATGGGGATCGGGGCTACTACAGCGCTTATAAGGGCAATGTTTGATCGTATATCGCAACATAACCCATTCAAGTCCTAACTTAAACATCTAAGCTCTACTGGGCGCTAATTGTAGTGCGCTTGCGCCTTGCCCTTGGCGGCATGGTTGCTAGGAAACCGCGAAGCCGCGGTCCAAGCTTCAAGTCTCTCTCGACCATGGCCAAATTCGTCATTGCGGGTAAGTGATCCCCGCGTCCGCCCGCAGATTGCTCAAAACGCCGACAGCTCACCTCCCACGGCCGCTTGGCAGTGATGTTCTTACTGGCTTATAGCAAGTCCAGCGTCTATACGGACCGCTCCATGCTTTGCTATGAATTCATTCAAAGATATTTACTGGATCGTGACGGTGCGCTAAGCACTGTGGGACACCGGTGATACAATGGAGGGAAACATATCTCTGCCTTCGAAGAGCTTTCAGTCTCATGGGGCACAGAACATGTACTTTTGATACGGTGTGATTAATGCAATGAAGGAGACCTGCACAGGCCCCTGGGAGCATAGAATCCTAATCCGGATTTAGGGGGTGGGGGAGAGGTGGACACAAGGAACTGACTGGGGAAGGTATTGCAGGAGCTGAGTTATGAAGGTGTGAGGGGAGGAGGCTATTCCAGATCAAAGCAGAGAGACTAGAAGCCTCATGGCCTAACCAAAAATCTGGTTATGTGAGGAGTGACAGGACCTGGGGCTAGAACAGGAGCAGGAGCCAGGTCCTTGCATTTCATATACACCAAGGGAAGGTATTTGAACTGTATCCTGAAAGCAATGAGGAGTTATAGAAAAGTTTTAAGCAAGAGGGTAGCCTAAATGAATCTGCATTTTAGGAAGCCTGTCTTAGCAGCAATGGAGAGAATGATTGAAAGTGCTGGCCGGGCGCGGTGGCTCACGCCTATAATCCCAGCACTTTGGGAGGCCGAGGCGGGTGGATCACGAGGTCAAGAGATCGAGACCATCCTCGTCAACAAGGTGAAACCCCGTCTGTACTAAAAATACAAAAATTAGCTGGGCATGGTGGCGCACGCCTGTAGTCCCAGCTACTCGGGAGGCTGAGGCAGGAGAATTGCTTGAACCTAGAAGGCGGAGGTTGCATACCATTGCACTCGAGCCTGGGTAACAAGAGCGAAACTCCATCTCAAAAAAAAAAAAAAAGAAAGTGCTGTTTGACAGCAAGGACCCAACTGAGAAGACTGTTATTGCAACAATCCATGGTACCTGCCTCCTCTTCTCATAGTTTCTTAAGAGTAGACTGCTCTTCCATCTCCAGTTCTGCCTTCTAATTAATCTTGGAAGAAGGCTTCTAATTCTGCTTCCTGAAAGAAAGTGCTGTCACCATAGTCATCAATGACTTTCTTAAAAGCTATTTATTCTTTGACTTATTTGATCTCTTTGATGCATTGAACACAATTGACATCTACCATCCACAGAAGAATTTTTTTTTTTTGAGACAGGCTCTTACTTTGTCACCCAGGCTGGAATGCAGTGGCACAATTATGGCTCACTGCAGCTTTGACCTCCTGGGCTCAAGCAATCCTCCAGCCTCTGCCTCTCAAATAGCTGGGAATAGATGGCGTTTTGTCATGTTGCCCAGGCTGGTCTTGAACTCCTATGCTCAAGCAATTTGCCCACTTTGGCCTCCCAAATCTCTGAGATTACAGGCATGCGCCACTGCACCTGGCCCAGAAGAATATTTTTGTGCGCTGACTAACCGTATGCTGGGAAGTCAGTGGAAAACACACTTACAGAGAATGCTGCATGTATGACAGGGGCAGGGCAGAGTTCTATAGGAACAATAGCAGGGGACCTTACTTAATTAGGTAAGGGCTTCCCAGAGGGAGAGATTTTAAGCGGATACCTGAAAGAATGATAACAAATTACCTAAGAGAGAAGAGGTAGAAAGGAAGGGAGTAATTTAGGCATGGGTAACAGGGAGTGGGGTTAGAGTGAGGAGAACTAGTTTGGTGATAATTGAGAATATAAAATAAGCACAAAATTGAAATAAGTTTATTAGAACTGAAACAAAGAGTACAAGAAAGAAAGTGTCATAAAGTGAGGCTAGAGTTAGATAATGTAGACTCTTGTGAGCCATGTTCAGTAGTTTAGACTTTATCCAGAGTTTTGAAAGGTAGGAGGACCTAATCAAATTTGCATTTTATCTCAATGTTATAGCTATAGCCTGAGAGAGAAAGACTGGTTGCCAAGAGACCAGTTAGGAAACTAGTGCTGTAGTCCAGGAGGGAGTTGAAGGTGCCCTGTCCTAGAATGGCAAACAATGGAGACAGACATAAGTGAACGGATTAGAGAGATATTAGGGAGGCAGAATCTATAGAACTGGGTGTCTAATTGAGTGGAAGAGGGCAGATAAGGGAGAAAAAGGAGTTAAACATTATTCCCAAGCAGTGGTTTGAATAACTGCAGAGATTAGGAGTCACTGAAAAAAAAAGAGTAGGCTTAATACTCTGGATACTCTTACTGCTCTTAGATAATTAGGAAAATAAACATAAAAATATAAGCAACTACGCAAATTTAATAGGGAAATGGTGACAAAATTCATCATAGACCTGAGTGCCTATGAGACATTTTGGAGGATATGCGAAAATAGAGGAGGATATAGGCATCTAGATAAGGAGATAGATCTGAGCTGGAAATACAGATTTCTACCTGAAGCCAAGGGAATGAAGCCAATTGGCCAGAAAGAATCTGTAAGATATAAAGATAAGATGCTTCTCAGAATGATACCTTTTAATGGGTTGATAAAGGAATAGGAACCTACAAAGGATAGAAAGGAGTGACCAGAGAAGCAGGAGAAGAACCTGGAGAATGCCCCACTATAGCAGGTGTTTTAAAAGCATGCAAGGGGGCAGTAGTGTCAAATGCTGCCAAGGGTCAACAAGAAAAGGATCAAAAAGTATCCATTGGATTTAGTAGCATGGAAGTCCCCAGTGACCTTCAAGAGAATTGTGGGGTCAACTACATTGCAGTGGATGAGAAATAAGTGAAGACCTGAGGATGGCAAGTATAGAGAACTCTTTCAAGGTATTTTAATAGAAAAGGACATATGAAAGGCAATAGCTAGAGGGGGGGGATGATGTTTCTTAGGACAGGAGAAACAATATAATGAGTATATTTAAATATGACAAAAAGGGACTATTAGAAACAGATATAAAACTCTAGAAAGAGAGGATAATTAACTAAGCAAGGTTCCTGAGAATGCAGATAAGGGTGGGATTCAGAGCATAAGTGGTGGGATTAGATGTAGACAGGAGGTAGGACTCCTCTTCAATTGAAATGAATAAGGGAGGAAAGGATGAGTCCAAATGCAGACAGGCATGTAGGTGTGATGGAGGAGGTTGGAGGTTTTCCAAATTAATGCCATTTTGTTTCGTTTAAATTGGTTTTTGTAAAGTAGAAAGCAAAGTTTTCTGTTGTCTTCTGATAATGCTGAGGAATGTTGAGAAGAAGGAAAGGATTTGGAGGAAGAGGAAAAAGTTTGGAATAGTCATTGTGGAGAAAAGATGAGAGTGCTGATAAGAGAAACAGAGGGATCTCCACATAGGGTTGAGGGCCGATTAAAGCTGGTGACCATGAATTTTAAAGGTGCCCTCCGCTTGGTTCTACCATCTTTCTGTAGTGGTGCCCAGTAGGTAGGACCCAGCTACAGAAAAGGCAGGCAATTGGGTTCATCCAGGATGAGGGGCTTTTTTATCAGGCTCATTTTCCAAAAGGAGAGTGGAGAAAGATAATTTAAGACATGGGCCAGAAAGTGATGAACCATAGATCTGAACTAGACAGGGAGGCTAATAGACAGGGCAAGCTTCAGACTGGTTGATAACTTAGGAGTTCCCATGAGGCCAAGGAACTGGTAACTAGTAGGAGTTAGGAAGAATGCTACAGAGAGGGCTCTGCATTTTGTCTCATCCCTCCTGCTCTATCAGCCACCCAATCCCGTCTGGTGTAGTAGCTTTAACTTCCTGGGTGTTGATGGCTACAAACTGTGTCTGAAACTTATATGGCACCTGCACACCATATATATATGTCTCCAGCTGCTTGCTGATCATATCCACTTAGACATACTATAAATACCTCCAACTGCACTTGACTAAAATTAAATATCTCATTCATGGTTTCTCTCCAGTTAAGGTCAGCATCATCTGCCTAAGCCAGAAAATAGAGGTTATCCCAGATTCTTCTTTCCCACCCCCAACAACTTCCTGACATGCATCAAATACAAAAGTGATTTTACCACCCCTCCTCACTTCAAACTTTTAGTAGCCGTTAGTGAGTAGTTCATTATCAGTACTAATTCATGCTAAATTAGTAATAGTTAGCAGCCTCCTAGGGAAAATGCAGTCTAGCATAGTACTAGATGAGAATAAATATTCAGTAGGATTTTTTTCTTTCCGTATTTTATTACTTAAGATTCTGACCTCCTATGAAAATTTATTTTATTTGTATTAATCTAATAAACATCAGAAGTTTATGTCATGGCAGTTTATACTGTAACTTCATGTTATCAACCTATAACTATAATTCTGTAATTACATAGCAAATACTTAGAACTACATAATAATTTCTGCATAATGAAAGAAAACATTGCTAATTTGAACTCTTTTAGGTAGAGCAGATTGTCCATATTATGCTAAAACAGAACTTCTGGCAGACTATTTACAAGAGAATCTTCCTGATTTTCGGGTACATAAAATCACACAACATCCTGAGGTTTGGGAGGTAAGAAGCCTTTATAGTTTATTAAACTTGCTGATGTACAGAAGGTATTTTAATTTGATTAAATATTAGCTAGTGTATTAGATTGGCTTCTGGTAATGACTGTTCATGTACTAGTGATATTTGAATACTGGTAAAACAAGTCCCTACTTACTAGTCTCAAAATAATATTTGTTTGTTTCATAAATACAAGCCTAATCAATACATAGAATAAACTTGACCTCATCCCCTGACGAATCCAGGTAGCTTACACTGTGCTTGTTAACTTTTCATTCTCCTTGGCATTGATTTCCAGTGACTTATTTGGGATACCTTACCTTTCTTTAGGACTCTGTTTCCCCAGAAACAGACTTTGAGATGTAGAATTTGGTGAAGGGGCTTTACTGGGAGGTGGTCTTGCGGAAAGCATCCTGAGAAGGAATGAGAGCAGGAGGATTGGGTAAAGGGAGAAGTTGAACTTTGACACAGCTGCCACAGAGGGCTCAGCAGATCCCACAGTGAACTCTTGATGGCTTTTCAGAGGTATTCCAAACTGAGGCAAAGTAGCTGAGCTTTTGGGCTCCCTCCTTGACCAGCCATTGAATATCAGCTGCCCCTGGGAAGAAACTTAACCTTAGGCGAGGCAATTTTCTTTGGCCGAGGTAAATTCCTAGAGAGAGAATTGAGTCAGACTTAAGTTATCAGCCTCTAATACACCAGGTGCCTGAGAGAGTGAGTGCCTCATTTGTGAAGGGGAATATGGAACATATGTGACAGCACTGGACACAGTCTACCTGTTGGGCCTTTTGGATCTACATGTTCCTTATAATCGGTTCACACTATCTTGGATTCTGGTTGCCATCTTTCCCTGGGGATCCACATACTCCCTATAATCAGTTGACACCTCCTCCAAGATTCGGGTTGCCATCTTTCCCTGGGGAAACTTTATAAGAGAAAGGATAGTCAAATGAACTATAGTCTCCACTGCTCATAGTTTTAGAGCCAAATTGACACTCATCACCTGTCTTCCCTCCCTCTTTTCTCTACTATCCATTATAGATTTCCCTCACTCTCTGCTGGTCTAGTCTTCAACTAAGCTATCTCATCTGCTGGGTTGTTTAGTGCTGTGTTACAATAAATGTTCTCTGGTTGGCAGTGCCCACTGACCTCTATTATTTCAGGATTTTATCATCTCAAATGCCAGGGAGTTCAGGTCTATAGCTCCATGTCCTTCAACAGCCTTGGCCACAATCATATGAAAAAATGCTCAACATCACAGATTATTAGAGAAATGCAAATCAAAACCACAATGAGATCCCATCCATACCAGTGAGAATGGCTATTATTTAAAAGTCAAAAAATAACAGATGCTGGCGAGGTTGTGGAGAAAAAGAAACACTTATACACTATTGGTGGGAGTGTATAAGATGGAAATATCCTTCAACCCAGAAATCCCATTGCTGTGTATATACCCCCAAAACATAAATTATTCTTTTATAAAGACAAGATACACATATATGTTCATTGCAACACTATTCACAATAGCAAAGACATGGAATCAACCTAAATGCCTATCAATGTTTGACTGGATAAAGAAAATGTGGTACATATACATTAGGAAATATTATGCAGACATAAAAGAGAATGTTTGCTTTAAGTGAGATAAAGGCAGGCAGATCTTCAATGTCAGCAAGGGAAATTAGTTTCTGGGATTTTCTTTGTTAGGTAGCCTCATTACCCATGCCTCTAATGACGTGGTTTTAAGACTGCTGCCATGTACTTTGCTGATAAAAATGTTGCTGTCTGACTCTACTCAGATCTTGTCATTGGAAGGCCTGGCCTATTTAAACCAGATAATGATAATTTAAACTTTTTCTGATGAATATTATCAGAAATCTCCAAATAACTTTTAGCTTATTCATTCAGTCTGAAATACATAAACCATACTCACAGATTTAAAAAACAATATCAAATTTTATATGCCCCTAAGACTGGAAATATTGCATGTATAAGAAGAATAAGGACAAAACTAGTTGAATTTTTTTTTTAAATCAGTTGACTTGGAAAATGTAACCTCTCTTTAAGCTAAACACTTGCATTCCAGGTCTCCTTAGGAAAAAGAACAACTTTTGGTACCTTTATTTGGTCAATTAATTTGAAGAATACTCTTTCTTATCTAATTAATCTGTTACTAACATCATCAGTATTTTCTACATTTACATTTTACTCTTTAAAGATATCCAAATTATATTATGTAAAAGTAGTGACATTAAAAACAACCTCGTATTTTAATGTTTGAATTCTAAAGTATGAAATTGAATTATCCGGCAGATTTAATACGTGACTTCACTTGGAATGTCATTCAACAGGATTGGCTAAAAGATGTGTGTGAAAAGAATAAGTGGAGTCACAAGAATTCCCCCATCATCTGGAGAGAGCTGTTGGATCGTGGAGGAAAGGGTTTGCTTTTGGGAGGATATAATGAGTTCCTGGAGCATGCCCAGGTATATAAGTTAACTTGACTTATCTGTTCTAACAATGATAATTCACTTACATTATTTTATTTTTCAAATATCTTGCTTTCTGAGTTATTATCTCATGTCTCTTTTTATTGTATTTTGACTTTAAACAAAAAGTTTCCATTATAGTCAATTTCAGCTAGTTATCTATTCTCTGATACTGACTTTCTCTTTCCCAATATTTAGCTTTACTATAATGTCACCTCTAGCATGACGACTGAGCTGATGAAGGTAATTGCTCAAGAGAACCTGGGGACACATATGGAAAAAGAGCAGGAGGAGGAAGCCCTGAAAACTTGCGTCAACTCCTTGCAGGTCTGGATCACCAGGTGGGACAGTCAAATCCCAGGATTCATGAGGTTGATGTTTTATATTTAGAAAGGACAATGAGATGGGATTAATTTCACGATGGAAGACTACCTGAATGTCAGGTTTGAGATTTGTGTGTATGTATACTTACATGCATACACACACACACACACACACACACACACACACACACATATGCCTCTGTGTGTGAGTGTGTGTGTATCCTCCATATAACTCATAAATGAGTTTTAGGTTTTACACACACACACACACACACACACACACACACACACACTTGGTCTAAAAACAACTCGAAAGCTTGGCTGCTTTGCAGAAGCTCACCCTCTCTGACTGTTGCTCCCTCCCTCTCTCTCAGTTGCTAGAATTTTCTTTGGCTTTTCTCTACACACCCACTCCCTCTCTACAACCCCCCTCCCCACACTTTGTTCCCTTTTGCTTTTCTTCTTCTCATGTGTGCTCCTCTTTGCTCCCAGTCTGGGCACATGCAGTCTTTGTTGTCACGCTCTCTCCCTTTCTTTACACTGTCTTTCTGTTTCTTTTGCTCTCTCTCTCCCTCCCCCGTCCTTTCCTCATCCCTCAGTTTGTCTTTTGCACTTTCCTGCTCATATGCACGTGTGTATCCTAATATATACACTCATCTTAAAAACTGTTACTATGAAATGTCTGAAATACAGAAAGGCATTAAGAATGATGTAATAAACATACATGATCCATCTTACCACCCAGATTTAACAACTATCACATCTTCTTTAGATATGTTTCAAAGGATTAAATTGGTACAGATACTGTTGAAACCCCCATTGCACACCTCGCCACCCCCACGGTGATTACCAGAAATGCCCAGATGCATTTCTGAACTTCCCATGGCAGGCATTATGGTTCATAGTTGATAGTCACAGCTGTAAACACCTGCTGAATTGTGGTTACAGATACACCATAAATAGCCTATGTTGATCTGAGCCATCTCTGTAAGAATTTGGAAAAAGCAGTCCTTTCCAAAACAAAAGTCATTACTGTGTAGATGAGGTTGTATTTTTTTAAAAACAGTTATGGCTAACTGAAACTTATATCTTTATCTTTTTAGGGGGAAATATAAACATGTAATTACAGTAATATAATACAGGTTTTTTTAAATTTTTGATTTCTGCATAGGGGGGATTCTGTTTTCTTTGAAGAACCTAATAAACAGGTATATTTCTTATTTGGGGACTGATTTCAGGTGGCCAGAGCAAGGGACTGATAGCGAGAAGTTTTTGTTCTACTTTTGACTTCTAGGCTTAAAATTTCAATGCAGCTGTGTGTGTGTGTGTGCTTATTTAAATATGAAACCACCCTGTTGATGTACATGCAAAAATATCTATTAACAATAAAGGCTTCAAAGGGACAAAGGATATAACTATTCATAATCCTGCTTTGCATTTTTAACAGTGCCTCTGCTCCTGCCTGCTACAACCTAATTCCCATATTAACGAGTGGTGAAGTGTTTGGGATGCAAACAGAAATTAGCATAACTCTATTTGACAACAAGCAGGCTGAAGAGCATCTCAAAAGTCTGGTGATGGAGACCCAGGACCTGGTGTCACCAGTCCTGCGCAGCATCTCCATTTGTACGAAGGTAGAAGAGGCCTTCCGTCAGGCCCAGGTCATTGTGGTGCTGGACGACACCACCGACAAGGAGGTGTTCACTCTGGAGGACTGCCTCCGACACAGGGTGCCTCTGAGCAGGCTCTACGGGTACCTGATAGAGAAAAATGCTGATGAATCCGTCAGAGTCATCGTGGGAGGGAAAACCTTCGTGAACCTGAAGACGGTTTTACTCATGAGATACGCCCCACGCATCGCACACAACATTATTGCGGTGGCACTGGGGGTGGAAGGTGAAGCGAAAGCCGTACTGGCCAGAAAACTGAAGACAACTCCCTCATGTGAGTGAATTACTCTTTATGCTTTTCTTTTGTTTTGAAACAACATGATTTCAAAGCAGCCAGGAAGAACACTGTCCCTTCTAGGAACATTCTGAGTATCTGGGATAGAAAGCGTAAAGCAGACATAAAGAACTTGTGTGATTTGACTACTGTGCAAACTTTTTTTTTTTTTATCTGGCTGCTGACTTTTGTGTCTGACTTTTTCCATCATTATAAAAAGCAACAAATATTTATATTATTCAGGTGATAATTTGGTACTTGGTATTCCATTTTTCCCATTATAGTTGATTAAGGTAACCAATGTTTAAAAAAATCTAAGCTATGTACAAGTGGCTCTGCCCCGTCTCTAACACACATGACCTTGAGCAGTCGTTTAATCTCTCAGTGCATCAGTTTCCTCATCTGTAAAATGAGGACGTTAACAGCACCTGTCTCCTAGAGTGGATGTGAGGATTCAGTGAGATGTATTTCTAAAGTGCCTAGAAGAGTGTCTGGCACGTGAAAAACATTTCCAAGCATGTGAAGCTTATCAGTAGGATTATTATATGTCATCAGTTTCTGCTCCTATTAATATTTGAACTGGTAAATATCCGAATCATTGAAGGTGAGACTAGATCAGAAAATGGATTGTTGCATTTGAAAAGGGAGATAATATTGGACATGTTTTAGCTAATTTTGCCTGTAGGTGGAGCAGGTGGCAACTGTGTCCATTGAGAAGGGAAAGAGATGCCAGGCATTCTCTCAAGCAAAATTGGAAAGACAATGAAATGTGAGCCTAGAATGTTCCCAGCCAGGACAAAAAAGGCTTCAGTGAACCCCTAACATTATAGCCAGAGCTGTATTATCTTTTTTTTACAATGAAACTCTGGAAATCATAACTTCAGGTATTGCTGCATAATATTTAGTGTTTTATCCCCTAGGTAACTACAACACTTAACCAAATTGATGCTAAAGTTATTCAATAGGAAATGAAAACATTTTTCTAACTATTTTATCTCTGTCATCAACCTTCTATGTGTAGACATAGACTTATCATTGAAGGTGTATGATACACTACTGAAAAGTATCAAGAAGGATCTAAAACAAGGTGTATGTGTGGGTGGGGTGGGGGGTGTTGATGAGGGTTGGGGGCTTTCAACCAGAAAGCTGCTCTCTTGTGGGTCTGCTGGTGCCATGACTCTAAGCTCCACTCTACTCAAATCCAATAAGCATGTGAGAAGCAGGAAAAAGAAAAATGGAGGAAAGTTGATAAAAGGAAAAAGGCATTAGAGGGTCAGTAGTCCAAGTGGAATTGTCAGTGATGCAGCAAGAAGACACCCAGCAATGACAAAAGTTGAGTAAAACATCATGAAAGAGAAAAACCACCAAGGAAATTATTCAGGGATTATTCTAGATGCCAAGCAGGTGGCAAACCTTTTCAGAAAAGCATGATCCATGATAACCCCTAAGTTCGGTTCATAAATAACACTATTTATTGGACCATGTGTACTAGCTCATCAAGACTCCTTCTGTTGCAAGAAAGTCAACTCAAAGTGACTGAAGTCACCAGGTACCATGGCTCACACCTGCAATTCCAGCTACTTGGGAGACTGAGGCAGGAGGATCCCTTGAGCCCAGGAGTTTGAGGCTGCAAATGAGCCATGAGGCTGCAGTGAGCTAGGCAACAGAGCAAGACCTCGACTCAAAAAAGAAAACAGAAAACCAAAAGTGATTGAAGTCAAGTAGAGAATACTTTCCCTGCATGACTCATGACTGAAAAACACAGAAGGTAGTTCTTATTTCAGAAATAGCTGGATGCTGGGGCTCAAACCGTGGCACCAGGACATGCCTGTGTTCTCTCTGCTGGCCTGTCCTTCTGCTCTGCTGTCTGTGTTGGTCTCCTTCTCAGTCGAGCCCTAAAAAGTGGCATCCCAGACTCACATGCTTATAGTTTACCTACAGCAGGAAAATTAGGGCTTTCTTTCCCAATTGGTTGTTCAAAAGAAGTACAAACTCATCATCATCCAGGCTGGCACTGCATGCCTGTCTCTAAATCAATCATCATGGCCAGGAGGGTGGAATCTGCATCTAATGCCAATAGGTGGACCTAAGGCATGAGGACAGTCCCACCTGACACATAGGGACTGACATTGGAGAAGGAACAGTTATATAAAGAAAAACCAGGATGCTCTTAATGGGGGGGGGGGGAGGAAAAAGAATTCATACCAAGAGGGAAAAAGGCAGATGTCCACTATCATTTTCTGTAGCATAATTTAGGGTGTTTAGAGCTATCAAGGGCCTCAAAACTAATAAAACCCAGCAAGATTAAAAGGCTTCTTTAGGCTGTAGGAAGGAAGACTACCATATGCTTACCTAGTCAAAGAATTATTTTCCCCATATGGGATCCTATGAGCTCCAAACCCTGACTCCCACCCTTCCCTCCCTCCTACAACTTGCAGCTGAGGGACCTGGAAGCACATCGATACTCCCCTGAGAATTGGGTGGTGGAGGGAGAACTATCTATTCCTACTGCATGAGTCATTTTGATGAGGGTGGGAATCTCACAGGAAGAAGGTAGGCAGTGATGGTGGGCTACCCAAAATCTTTTTCCCATCCTCTTCTCCCCAGCCTCTATCTGCTATAGAAGCTCAAACAATCACCCCTTTTCTTAGTTTCTTTGCAGCTAGGAATGGTTGAGTGACCTAGTCTCTTTGGGGTCCCCTGGGAAGAATATTTCACTTTCTGAAAAGAGAAAAGGCAAAAGAGGAAGCTTCCACCCCATTCTTTTCCCTATTGCCTACCCTTAAACGCAACTGTGTGAGAGAGAGTGATACTTGGAGCTGCTGCAGCCATCTTGTGACCATGAGGGGAAGTCCAAGAGAATCACTTCTCTGAGCTGTTGAACCAGCACATGTCACTGCCTACCATGACTTACCTGAGAAAAGTAGTCCTAGTTAGGACAAGTTAGTAGGATGTTCTGTGAGGTGAAGTCAAAAGCAATCTTATACAGGAGAACAGGGAAGAAGTTACTCTCCACGGTAGAAAGTGGTGTGTACTTATAAGTGAATATGTTTTTAGGCAAATAAATAAGTTAAATAAGTAAATAAATAAAATTATTTATTTGCAGTTTTCATACAAGATTCCTAGACAGTTCACAATTATAAAATCGTATTAAATGCCAATGCCTATTTCTCTCTAACCCCTAGGGTCTTATTTTACTTTTTAGCATGTATCACTTTGTATAATACCTCATCCACTACCCACCACCCCTAGAATGTTGTAAGGATTTGAGCTGATTTGTTTTCTTCTAAACCTAGTACCATTTCATATTTGTTGACTAAGATGTGCCCAGGGTCCTCATTTTGCCAGAGCTGAAACCCATCAGAGAGTTAAATGATTTGCCCTAATTTCTATTCTAGTCTAGAATCAAGAACTCCTTGTCAAAAATCAAAGCATATTAAAAAGTCCTTTCTCTCTCAACCCCTCTTGACTTCTTGCTCACTCTCTCTCCACCTTTCTGTCTCATAATGGCAAGCAAAGTCAGGACAAACACAGTAATATAATTTTCAGTAGCAGTTTCTTTCGGGGAACATTTCTTTATTTCTGTAATTTAATGATACACCATACCATTCATAGAACATTATTAGGAACTGCCAAACTATGATAATTAGGGAGGTGATCCGCACATTTTGCACAATTTTAGGAATCATAAACTTGGATTCATTTTATAGAAAAAGGACCAATCCTAAAACAAACATGCATACAAACAAAAAATAGACTTTAGGTAATTTTTTATATGAATATACATTACAGTGATTTTTTTAAAAAACTTTCTATTCTTCACAGACATTAAAGATGTGATAATTTGGGGTAATATCAGTGGAAATAATTACGTTGATCTGAGAAAAACAAAGGTGTACAGATATGAGAGTGCCATTTGGGGACCTCTTCATTATTCACGCCCTCTTTTAGACTTGATTTTTGACAGGTATGGTATATTTTTAAGTGAAGTATACCGACAATGTTAAATGTATAATGGTCGTAAAATTTTAAATCGTCTTATACATCTTTGCATAAAAGTAACTTGCGTTGTTCACGCTCATATTTGTTCATGCTGTCTACTGAAGAAACAGAAAATTCCACAGAATATCAACTAGGTAATCGATTTTGAAATTATAAACTTTTATATTTCAGATTCTTCAGTACCTCATACATTCAAGTAAGGTTATCTCTAAAGCAAGCATGTGTAAGGGAATCTTACTTCGTGGTAAGACAGAACTGTCTATCCAGGTTGAAGTTAGTTGAAACATTTTCAAGATAAGAATTAAGATGACGAGCAGGCACAGGCCAGGCTGGGCATTCTATGGCAGGAGGCAGAAGCAAGAGGTGGTGAGGAACACGGTCTTAGAACCAAGCCCCCCAGTCTGGGATCCTCACTTAGCCACTTATTAGCTGCGTGACTTTAGAGAAGTTGCTTAGCCTCTCTCTGACTCAGGTTTTCATCGGCAAAGTGGAAATGGTAACATGATAAGGGCCCTATAGGGTCTTGGGAAGATGAAATGGCTTACTCCAGATAAAGGACTTAGAGATGTGTCTGGTGTCTGCACAGTAAACACTAGCAGGTCTGATGAGGCAGAGGAGACGCGGGAAGGAGCTCTTCTGAAGCATTTTTCTGAACTTTGCAGCATGTTCCCAGTTGTAGCATTTCCTTTCCATTGCCTCTTGCCTTCCTTTCTTCCTCAGACTGCGGAACTTCACCCCTGCCTAGGGATGCTGTGCCCTGAGTTCGCTATTTTGAAGCATGATTCCTCTTCATTTTCTGCCCGGGCAAGACCAGTGTTGCACAGAGCTGCGTCGTGCTGGGTTAGCAGAGGCCAACTGGCTGGACTATTCTCTGAGTTTAGGCTTTAGATCATAAAAACTTAATTATTTTCCTAATTCTCAACATGAATGCAGCTTGAGCACCCCAATCCAAAAATGAGGAATCTGAAATGCGCCAAAATCTGAAACTTTTTGAGCACCAACATGATGCCACCAGAGGAAAACTCTACACTTTGCTTTCTGATGGTTTAATTTATACAATCTTTGTTTCATGCACAAAATTATTAAATATGTTGTATAAAATTACTTTCAGGCTATGTGTATAAAGTGTATTGAAACATAAACTTTGTGTTTAGACCTGAGTTCCGTCCCCATGATATTTCATTGTGTATATGCAAATATTCCAAACTCTGAAACACTTCTGGTCCTAAGCATTTAGGATAAGGGATACTCAACTCTAATTCAGTGTTTAAATTTTGTTTAAAGTGAAGGATACTACTGGTTGCAAGATAGTGTCTACACAGGATAAATTCTTTGTAATAAAAGTAATGGTTCTTGCCATTTTTAGCCACTTTTCTGTGTTCCATATTTATATTATCATATTTTCAGTTTGACATTTTGGGACTCCTTTCTGCTACATCTCATTGTTTTTCAGTTGACTTTTATGGGGATTGAAGACACTTGAGGAAAGACACTAGAAATAGTCATATTTCTATTTTTGACTGATAAGGTTTCTGAAACTTAGTTCCACTGACCAGAGAACATCTTTTTTCACTCTTATTCCTCTCTCCATTGTAAAATTGTTTCTCTCCTTACAGTGAATGGGTAAAAAGAGAATTTGTGGCAACTCTTAAAAACTTAACTGCCACAGGAAGACAATTTGGAGGCATTTTGGCTGCACACAGTATAGCCACTACATTGAAATACTGGTACCACGGCTCACCACCTGGGGAGATTGTATCTTTAGGAATATTGAGTGAAGGTAAATCTGGGTTTTTCGTATCTTGTAAAATCTTAATGCCTCTATCTATGCCTTGTGCTCCTAATTCTGTGTCCCCGCCTGTCTAGTTCTTCACATGGTCTATAAACTGTATTATGAAATTTTATAATTTCATAATAATTCATTCATTCATTCATTCAATTATTCACTCAGAAGGTCAACAACATTTTGTATGAATGCATTGGAAATATACATAGGAGTTAAGACCTGGCCTCTGCCTTCAGGAAACCTACAGTGGAATAAACAAGAGCCAGATACATAAACAAAATCATCTTGTTAGGTTTTCCTAGCAAGAGATAAAGGGAAAGCAAGATTAATTCCAGGCAGGAAGCAGGTGGAACCAGGACAGGCTTCATAAAAAAGGTGACACTCCAGTAAGACTAAAGTATGAGGACTGTTGACCTAGAAGACAAGTGTGGAAAGGGCACTGGGCACAGGGAGCCACAGGAAGACAGATATAAAGGCAGGATAGAGAGGGGTACTACAGGACCCAGATCTTAGGGTACCAGGCAGCACTGGGGATGTGGAAAGATTGCTCTCCATCCACAAATACTGCATATAAACTTTTATAGCCCTAATGTTTTAATCTACTAAAAACTATTCAGAAGACTTCCGCCATTTTTACATAACAGGAAAGAGAATAGCTGATGTTCTGTCATCTGTAAGGTCTATCTGAAGCATCTCTTCCCTTTGTGTTCTAGTTTCTCCCTCAGCAAGCTAATTCACTTCCAGAGCTGCAGACCTCAGCCTCTGCTGAGCTTTGGCTTATGAAACATTGTCACCTGGATGTCATGTTGTCATTTCCATCCAACATATATCAAACTGAATGTACTGTATTTCTTCCCAATCTGTTCCATCTCTTGTATTCTTTATAAGTAGAACTACCATATTCCCTATCTTTTCAGTGCCTCCAGTGCAGGTTAAGAAATTTGAAATCCCTCATGTCAGAATTAATCTATTTCTCTTCTCTATACCCCCACATAGCATTTTGCTCCCCTATCACAGAGAGTATTATAGTCTTCCTGCTTTTGATAGTGTGATTAGTTGCATATGTCCCCTTCATTGTGGCACCCTGGGGGCAAAGGCTTTTTCTGGCTCACCTCTCTGCACCTTCACAGGAGCAGCATTTTATATGGTAGACGCTCAGTGAGTCTTGTTCAATTGAAGTTAAGGTGCATGAACATTGCCATAGTGTGAATTCAAATCAGCAAGTTATCTTCTTAGGGAAATAGGCATTTAAAACCTTACCTTTATCTGTAGAAAGTAAGTTTAATTAATCTCTGTAGGAATTGTATTCAAAAATAAATAGCACAGTACTTGGGGGAGAGGGGTAAATGATAATTCTCTGTCCCTCGGAAACCATACTGAACAGGTAAACCCTCATATCTCGTCTGTCCGTAAAGCTAGCTCTTCACAGATTAAACAAAATACAGCATGACTTGAGGACCCGGGTATCCCTCTAAGGAAAAGTCTTTTAGATCTTGGTTTCTTAAATGTCCTCAATTTTTTTTACCTGGTGACATTTTTGTTGTCCAGAAGGGCAGGAATAATTTTCTTATGTGATTGAGGTACTAGAAATGGGGACAATTTTGTCTGAATGGTGCTCAGTTAATAATAAATATTGTCAATCTTTTTATTTAGAGCACAACCAAATATAAGTATTTCTGTATATCTTAAAGAAATTAAATGTATTATTAAGAGAAGGATGACTTCTGCCTAAGATGTAGAAATATGTAAAGAAAATCTTCCCACATGAAACAAACACATGACAGAATAACCAAATTTCCTGCTTCCCCTCCTTTCCCTTCTCAGTTCTTTATACTCTGGCTATATGACTACTGTAGCAGGCGAGAAGACTAGAAGGCCAGATGGACAAACGACTTAGGCTCATGAGCTACATAGGGGGTCAGGGATAAAGCTGCACAGACAGATAAAAAGAATATAGGCAGGATTCAAAAGAGAAATAGTGCATTCTTTTGTTCTGTGGCTCCCACATTAGTGTTGAATTTGGAAAGCTCTTTAATAAATTTATATGATTATTAAAAAAAAAAGAAAGACTGACTTAGCCTCTGGATGTGAGAGAAATACAAATGGCAGAATTGTTAGAACTTGGATAGTTGCTCATTGATCCTTCTAGAGTGAGTGTTTCAGTCCTTCTTGGAGAAGAATTCCCAGAAATTTAATTCCATCTTTATCATTAAAAATCCTCTATTATGTCTGTTTTTTCCTACAATGCTTAACAGAAAAGGCGCATGTTTCTAAGTTCTGCTGTGTTGTTTTGCTTTGTGTTCGCTCACTGTAGGCCAGTTTGGTATTCCTGAAGGGATCGTCTTCTCTATGCCTGTGAAATTTGAGAATGGAACTTGGGTGGTTCTTACAGATCTCAAAGATATTGAAATAAGTGAACAAATAATGACCAGAATGACAAGTGATCTAATTCAGGTAATGTCAGAATAGATACAAGGGGACTGACCTTGAGAATGACCTTAAACTGATTCCCCTAGGCCAAGGCATACATTGGTTTTTCTATGGATTCTACTTTTCTTTAATTCCTAAAAATAATGGGATTATAAATGTTTGAAAAAAAATCAGTGAAAGAACACTACTCATTTGGTTATACAATTTCTGGTATGTTAAAAACATTTATTTATTATTTCAAGAATCAAAGTATTTTTCTATTAAAGAATAATTAAGTTAGGAATATGGTCATTTAATTCTGTGATTATAAAATTTTTCAACAGGAGAAACTTGTTGCACTTGGAGACAAGATACATTTTCAGCCATGTCAATCAGGTAACCTCTTAGATGTGATGTTTTATTGGACTGCTATTAAACGAGTATTAAAATATTTGTTATAACTGAATCACTGTTAATATGAATAACTCCCATTTATATTTTACCATTTCTAAACTAAATTAATGACAAAATAAGCTGCTAAGTTCCATGTGTCCTTTGAAATAAAACATCTCATGAGAATGTTAAAGAAAACACAACTTAAGAACACTATGATCTTGTAAGTGTTGCGGGTATCTTATTAATTTCCTGGGACTACTATAGCAAATTACCACAAACTGGATAGCTTAAAAACAACAGAAATGTATTTGTTCACAGCTCAGGAGACTGGAGTACCTGGTGTGACGTGTCAGCGGGCCATACTTTCTCTGAAGGCTCTAGGGAAGAATCTTTCTGCTTCTTCTAGCTTTGGGTTGAAGTGCTCGCATTCTTGGCTTGCTGCTGCATCACTCCAATCTCTGCTTCCCTCTTCACATGTCTGTCTTTCCTGTGTGTGTTTCTGTGTTTCCAAATCTCTGTGTGTGTGTGTGTGTGTGTGTCTGTGTGTGTGTGTGTGTGTGTGTGTGTGTGTGTGTGTGTCTAAGGATACCAGTCATTGCATTCAGGACCTGCCCTAAACCAGTATGACCCCATCTTAAATTGAGTATATCTGCTAAGACTCTATTTCCTATAAGATCATATTTATAGGTACCAGGTTTTAAGACTCCAACATATCTTTTTGGAAGCACATTTTAACCCAGAGCACCAGATTTATTTTTAGATAACTTTATTAAAAGCCAGTAAATTTCAATAAGCTTACTTTTCTTATTGGTATTTTCTCCAATCATAAAGAAATAAGGAAGGGCTGACATCTTTTCTTTGCCTTAAAGATGATCTCAAGTATGGATATATACATGTAGAAATAAATCAATTTATTTATGCAAAGGGCTTTAGTCGAGTGTCTTTTGGAGCCCAATATTTCTTCCTCCGCTAATGTGTATGCACTACCAACTATAAGCCAGTAGCAGGAGCTGGAAATACAGAGGTGAATTAGATAGACCTGATCTTACCCTCTTGGAACCTGCAGTCCATCAAGGGGCTAGTCACACATTATGTAGATGACTGCAATTGTGGCATGTCAGAGGAGTAACTACTGACTGCTGTGCTGTCAGAGCTCATGCCTGGGGATAGAAGGGAAGAACCTGAAGCAGGAAAGTACATATTAACTTGTTTGGAAAAACTGGAAAAAGCGTGTGTGGCTGAAGCCAGAAGAGATGGAGCTGAGAGTTACAGCCATGAGGAGTACATGTGAGACCTACAGATGGAGAGAACCTGGTCAGTTGTGGGATTAGTTTGAAAAATATCTTGGAATAAGGCAAGACTGTTTGCAGAAAGACTGGTATTGGGGGATAGCTCAGTGACACAAGGAAGAGATGGTTACAGCCCAGACCAAAGGCAGTAGAAATTTGAGAGATATTTAGGAGGTGGAATTATCAAGACTTGCTGATGCATTGGCTCTGGTGAATTCCAAAGTTCTTCTAGCTGAGCAACTGGGCAGGTTTACTATTGATAAGGGGAAAATGGTAAAAGAATGAGAGAGAATATGAGAATGTGGGAAGTGTGGATGTGTGTGTGTGTGTATGCACGCACGTGTGTGCACACGTGCTTCTGCATGCACGCGTGTGGATGGAAGAGGAAGAAGCATGGTGCCAGAGTAGAAAAAGCATGAGTTTCATTTCGATTCTGAAATACCTGTGTGAGATCTAAAATGGAAATGTCACATGGAGAACTGCATACTTCCTGGAGCTCAGAAAGATCTGGACTACAGTTGCCAAATGAGGAGGTGTTGCCTCATAAATAGAAATGAAGCTATCTCTATGATGGAGATTGTCCAGAGAGAAGGTGAGAGGAGAAAGCCTGGAGGAACTTAGCCCATCATAGTTAAGTGGAACAGGAGCAACTGACAGACGACCATGATGGGTGGTCAGAGAGACAGGATAAGCCCCTGAAATCTGATGATGTAAAAGACCTGAGGACAGAGGGTGTTTGAAGAACAAGGACTGGTCTACAATGTCAGATGCTATTGGTGTATCAGATTAAATGAGACCTGAAAAGTGCCCAGTGGATGTATGACAAAAGTCATTCGTGACTTTGATGACACCAATTTTGTGGAATGGAGAGGGCAGAAATGAGACCAAAGTAGAAAGGAATGTCCCTAGCTTTAGAGGCCAGAGTGTCACTCTGGAGCTAGTGTGCTTAGTGCTGTAGGCCCAAGGAATGTGCCATACGCCATGACAGCAGTGGGAAGAGCACCATCAGGACTCTGACAGGATGGGAGGGCTTTCTGGAGGAGAAGGTAACATCGAAACTGAGTTATGAGAGGAAGGAAGGCCAACAGTCAGGGGCATGGTAGGAGTAAATGGGAGAGTTGTTCAATTCGGAGAAAGGAACATATTCAAAGCTAAAGAAAGAACTTTCAAAGAACTGCCAATTTGCTTTATCTGGAAAATTGAGTTTGAGGAATGTCAGGAGGCCAGAATAGGGGCCTTGCTAAAACCAATGAAAGATTTTAGGCAGAATAGGGACAGGAGCAGCTTCTAATTTAAAATGATCACTGTCTGCAATGGGAAGAATGAATCGAAGGGGGAGAGAGGAAGCAGGAAGACCAGCTTTGCTGCAGGCAGAGAAATGATGAGGACCTTAAGCAAGCAGTGGCTGTGGGGATGTAGAGAAAGAGCTAGATTTGCAAGAGATACAGTGACAGAACTTGACCAATCTGAGATTGAGGATAACAGAGCGCTCTAGAGAGTCAAGAATGCCCCTCATGTTTTCAACATCTCTACACATGGTCATGGTGTTATCTGAGGCAGAACTTCCCAAACAGTGGGCCACAAATAAATTGAGTATGTGGAGCTCTTGATATCCTCAGTTCTAGGGGCAGAATCTGGGGCAGCTGGAGTCCTTGAGCTGGTTGCCTTTCTTGTCCTTGTCACTTACTATGTGTACTGAATCATGAAAATGATTGGGAAGGTGAAATTAATGTAAGGAATAAAGGAGAAGGAGCAGATTTTCAAGAGGCATCTAAGTGAAAGTGTCTGGTAGGTAACAGACACATGTCTCTGGAGCCCAGGAGAGAGCTCTGGGCTGGACATGAGGACACAGAGTTGTCAGCAACTGGTAGTAATGAGAAGAAATTGATAACGATAGTGACCTCCTGGAGGAGGACCTGAGTGGCCGGGGAGGGAAGACTTCTGCAGTTTAGGGTTTCTCGTGCCTCTTGGATTTTGTTCCATGTGCATGACATATATATCCAAAAATACAAGGAGTCAGATCGATATCTGGATGGTTGGATATTAAACTCTAACTACTATTAGAGAGGAGAGGGTGAAGATAGAGGTAAGTGAGCAGAAGGGTTCTCTGCTTGAGTAGAACTTAAGTGCCAGAGCACAGGGTCACCTCCAAACTGAAAGTGTCTCTGCTGCTAAGGCTGGAGGGAACCAGAGAAGTGATGGACGCAGATGCAAGTTAAGTGTATGGGATGGAGGAGTGAGGAACAAAACAGGCAGTGGGACCAGGTCCAGAGGGCCAAAGACTCAGAGAAAGGCTGGGCTTGTAAGGAAGGACACAAAGGTTTGAAATACAGGCATGTGTGCATAACATTTTGGTCAATGGCAGATGGTGTAATACCACAGTGGTTCCATTACATAATGGGGTTAAGCACTTCCTTCCACCTTGTGATGTTCTGATGATCCTGACCCTGTGTAGGCTTATGCTAATAATGTATGTGTTTATGTCTTCGTTTTTAACCCCAAAAAAATTACAAAGAAAAATGTAATTTTTAGGCTGGGTGTGGTGGCTCATGCCTGTAATCCCAGCACTTTGGGAGGCTGAGGCAGGCAGATCACGAGGTCAGGAGTTCGATTCCATACTGGCCAACATGGTGAAAACCTGTCTCTACTAAAAATACAAAAAATTAGCTGCACATGTTGGTGGATGCCTAGAACGTTACTGTATGCTACTGTAGACTGATAAAGACCATGCCCTTAGGCTACACTGAATTTATTTAAAATTTTTTTTCTTTCTTCAATAACAAATTAACCTTAGCTCACTGTATTTTTTTTACTTTATATTTCTTACTTTATAAGTTTTGTGTTTTGAAAAACTCTTTTCTGTTAGCACTTAGCTTAAAACACAAACATCTTGTACAGCTATACAAAAATATTTTTTCTTTATATCCTTTTTCTTTATATCATTTATACCCTTTTATAAGCTTTTTTCTATTTTTAAAAGTTACTCTTTTTTTTTGAGATGAAGTCTCACTCTGTCACCCAGGCTGGAGTGCAATGGCACAATCTTGGCTCATTGCAGCCTCTATCTCCCAGGTTCAAGCAATTCTCCTGCCTCAGCCTCCCAAGGAGCTGGATTTTATTTCTATTTATTACTTCCTTCTTTATCCAATCTAGACCCGCATAGCTAAGGTGACTTTGGTTATCCACATTGAACATAAGAGTGGAAAATGAGTCCAGTTCACTTAGCATTTGGGAAGGAAGAAGATGAGGCAAAGAAATTGAAAGTCATTGCAAGAAAGCAGATGAAGTAATAGACTTTGGGGGTCTAGGTTGGTTAAGGAAGGAAGTAATAAATAGAAATAAAACAAAATAAATTAGCTGGGCATGGTGGCACACGCCTGTAGTTTCAGCTACTCGGGAGGCTAAGGCGAGAATCACTTGAACCAGGGAGGCAGAGGTTGCAGTGAGCCAAGATCACACCACTGCACTTCAGCCTGGGTGACAGAGCGAGACTCTCTCTAAAAAAAAATAAAATAAGAGAATCCGAACAAGGGGGATATTGAAACTATTTAACAACCAGGATGGGTACAGGTCCCAACCAATTAAACAGTTGCTACCTTTCAGAATGGACTAACTGATCAAAATAAACAGAGAGGGCCATTGGTCCAAACCAGAGAGGGTTGAGTGAGGTCAAAGTAGGGGAAGTGGGGGAGGAAGTGTGGGGTTTGGGAGTTCAGAGGAGGTTCTGGCTGATGGCCAAGTCCCCAGGAGTGGGCCAAACCAAAGCCCAGAGGGTGCAGGAAGTGAAGGTGCAGGCACAGAGGGATATGTAGAAGTCCAGTGCGCATTTGATTTAACCCAAATTCTTTTATTCTCAGAATTCAGAGGCCCTCTGTTTGCTTCCTGCGCTAGGCAGAATACAGCTCCAAATTCCTTTCATGGGAGTGGGCTACAAAGCAGTCATTCCAAAACTGACTCCGTTGACTTACAGATAGTCCTAACTGTTCCAAATATACTTGTATTATAAACAGTTTTGTGAGAAAAAAAAAAGATTTGATTTTATGCTGTGTATCAACAACAAAGGTCAAGGGGTGTGTGTGTGTGTGTGTGTGTGCGTGCGCGCGTGTGTATTTGATCTTAACTTTATCATCTTTGGCTCTTGCCCTCATAAGGAAACACTCTTCCAGGTATTCCAAAATCAGAGAATTGAAAATAATCAGAGGTTCCCACCCTCTCACAGTGTGGAGATCTCTGCTTACTAACATATCAATGAGATAATTCTTGTGTGAGGTTTGTTTAATCTCTTCAATTAATGCAATACTGACTTTCCTGATTTTAGAAACTGAACAACATAAAAAAGATAAAAGAATCTCCTTACACATCTCAGATGACAGCCAGGAAGCACAGGTCTCAGATGGTAAGTACACTTACACTCAATGTTTTCAAATGCCCTTTTTATTCGAGAGTTAACACTACATTTCAAAGAAAGAAATTTGATCACCCACCAACCATAAAGTGGGAGTCAAGTCGTCCTATATTTAAAAATAGGATTATATTTAAAATCCGTTTTAATATTTGGAGAAAAATACCAGATATTCACTGAGCACTGTCTATCTGCTGGTCACTATGAGAGACACTGGGGCCACAATAAGGAAACGATGGCCCCACTCACTGGGGAAAGGGGCCATGAGAATTTGAAAAGGTAAATCCCAAGACACACCATGAATTAAATGACTTCATAAATTGAGTCAAGATAGATGAAAGGGAAGGAAAGTACAGAATAAGAAGCCTAAAAATTTACATGAGGGCCTGGCATGGTGGCTCATGCCTTTCTAATCCCAGCACTGTGGGAGGCTGAGGCGGGGGGATCATGAGGTCAAGAGAACAAGACCATCTTGGTCAATATGGTGAAGCCCCATCTCTACTAAAAACACAAAAATTAGCTGGGGATGGTGGCATGTGCCTGTAATCCCAGCTACTTGGGAGGCTGAGGCAGGAGAATCGCTTGGTCCCGGGAGGCAGAGGTTGCAGTGAGCCAAGGTCACGCCACTGCACTACAGCCTGGTGACTGAGCAAGACTGTGTCAAAAACAAACAAACAAAAAACCCTAACATGAAAAGGAGAAAGCCTTGTATAAAGGAAAAAATTTAATTATATCTTGAAATCTATTTGGGACATAAGATGGCCAAAGATCTAAAAAATGGGCATTTCTTCAGAAACTGAGTCAGTTCAGTCGTGCAATATGAAAAATGTCTAGAGATCTTATGTATAACAATGTGCATGCCTTCTGAATACAGTGTCTTCCAGATGCATAGGATGGATGAGGCTGGAAAGGTAGATAGGGGCCGTCTGTTGTTTGGCTGAGTGGTGAGTTAGCAGTATGACTGGTGGATGGTGGATGGCGGGACTGTTGATGAAAAGAGTCAAACTCTATATGATATTTTAAGAGATTTATTCTAAGCCAAATATGAGTGACCATAGCCCATGACACAGCCCTCAGGAGGTCCTGAGAACACATGCCCAAGATGGTCGAGGTACAGCATGGGTTTATATATTTTAGGAAGGCATGAGCCATCAGTCATATACATTATTTTTTTTTTTGAGACGGAGTTTTGCTCTTGTTACCCAGGCTGGAGTGCGATGGCGCGATCTTGGCTCACCGCAACCTCTGCCTCCTGGGTTCAGGCAATTCTCCTGCCTCAGCCTCCTGAGTAGCTGGGATTACAGGCACGCGCCACCATGCCCAGCTAATTTTTTGTATTTTTAGTAGAGATGGGGTTTCACCATGTTGACCAGGATGGTCTCGATCTCTTGACCTCATGATTCACCCACCTCGGCCTCCCAAAGTGCTGGGATTACAGGCGTGAGCCACCGCGCCCAGCCCAGTCATATACATTTAAGAAAGACATTGGTTTTGTTCAGGAAGGAGGGACAAGTCAAAGCTGGTGGGGGACTCCAGGCTATAGGTAAATTTAAACATTTTCCCACAGACAATTGGTTGAATTTGTCTAAAGACCTGGGATTGATGGAAAGGAATGTTCAGGTTGAGATAAAGGATTGTGGAGACCAAGTTTTATCGTACAGAGGAAGCACTCAGATGGCAGACTTCAGAGAGCAGGTTGTAAATTGTTTTGTATCAGACTTAAAAGGGTGCCTGGCTCTTAATTGATTATCTCCTGGATCTTCCAAGGAAGGAAGGAAAACAACGGAGAGAGGGGATTCTCTATCGAATGTGGATTTTTCCCACAACAGATTTTGCAGGGCAATTTCAAGGTACTGCAAGGAAATATATTTTGGAGTAAAACATTTTGATTTGATTCCTTGTTATGGCAGTCAGATTGGAAGGTAAGTCACGACATAAAGGATTAAATAAAACACATCTGATGAGAATTTATGGTTTGTAGGGCATGGCTTCCCTTTAGAAAGGAATTTGAGCAAGATGAAAAATCAGAGCTTAGTCTTCAGGACAAAGCACAAAATAGATGGTGTCAGGCTTAGAGAATTAATCCAGCTGTAACATGAGCCCTATAGGGGACTATCGACAGCCCAAATCACTGTCCTTACAAGCGTGGTGAACTCAGTCCCACCTAGACAGTGTCTCTCTAGATATGAGTGGCAGCACTATATATACATTTTGGCCTGGTTGGCATTAAGCAACACTTCAAATCTGAGGGCACCAAGGCCCTTGTGAGAAGTGAGAAAGACTGTAAGATCTGTCATGAAGAAGGAGGTGGCAGCTTTCCAGGGTGGAGGAAGAGAAGCCAAATTGTAGAATGTGTATTCCGGAGACTACTCACATCAGAACAGTTTCAGTTGCTAATTACAGTTTAGGTCCTTAGACCTCTACCAGGATAAATAATACGCTTATGCAGACGAAAGAATGTTAGTCATGATAAAAGAGAGAAAATGGGTTGATGTAAGGAGATCGTTTGTTGAATAAGCATAGAATCAAATATATCCAATTACAGTGTTTTCCACATTTTGGGAAACATTTCCATACCCTTAGGTGGATTGTAAAAAAAATACAGTGATTAATGAAATCAATTTAATCACTAGCATTTTTCTCATTGAAATAGAATGAAATTGATAAGAATAAGGAGACCAGACATTTCCCCCCGACGAACTAGAATAGTATAGAAAGAACAAACAGCAAGTAAGAAAAACAAGAAAAGGGTAAGTAGGATTAGATTAGTGTATTAGTCAGGGTTCCCTTAAGGGACAGAACTAATAGGATATATATAGATCCATATATATAAAAAGGAGTTTAAGTATTAACTTACATGTGGTGGGAATCACCACCCCTTCATCTTTCAAGTCCTTGATAGTGGCACTAATCTCTGCAGTCCCTCCAGGGATATGATATTATTTTTGATTTACTATTTTTCTAGTAAAGAAAGCTCTTTTGGCTTCCATTTGGCCTTTCCTACCATAATAGCTCTCACCCTACCAGTCAGGGAGCCATTGTAGGGATTCTGCCAGCTACTAAGTATGTCTATGCCAATTATGCATTCTGGCACTGGGGAAATGACCACAGGATGAGTCAGATGACCTACTGGACCCACTGTAAAACTCCATTAATTACCTGACATCCATAGGCCCCTACTTTAACTGGAAGACCAGAATAATGTTTTGGGTCCTCTGGAATCAATGTCAGCTCAGAGCCAGTGTGCAGTAGTCCCCGAAATGTCCAATTATTTCCCTTTCCCAAAAGGCCAGAGGTCTCCTTGGGAAGGATGGGAGAAAGATTCACTGCATAAATTGTTGGTAATGTAGTGGGGTCCTTCCTCAAGGGGGTCTGGTCTCCCCTTCATTCAAGGGGTTCAAGGTCTGTAAACAGGCTCAAATCTGGAAATTGATTGAGGGCCATGATTCTCTGTTTTATAATTCAAATGAGTCTTTTGTTCATTAGACCCAGATGATTTATGCTTTATAAATTAAGTAGAAATGCAGCAGGCTTCCTATCAGTTTCACATCTAGGAACATCCTGGTCAATTAGCCAATGCTAGAGCTCTACACAAGTCAGACTATTCTGATTGCTGCTTTGTCTCTGCTGCCCATAATGGTAGCTATATCCATCTTGCCTTTGAAAGTTGGTTAATTGCCACCAGTCGGCCCCTGACACCTTGGGATCCAGTTATTCCCAATAGATTTAAGTTTTGTAGTTGAGTGGCTGTGGTTCCCACTGTTAGATTTGACATACAGAGAAGAGTAACTACAGGGCTCTTCAAAGATTCAGGTGCTACCCTCACAAATCTATTTCACAAGGCATTTGTCAAGGGTATATCTTCTGGACCCTCCCAGCTGGGATGAATAGGTCTAAAGTGACTAATCCACTCCACCATCCTAATCTCCCCAAGCCTTTGGATCCCTTCCATTAAACCAAGGGAGATCAGGCATTTCCAGCTTGCTCACAGTGGGCCGTCTTCTAATGCATATTTCAGCTAACCAAGCAAATAAACTGTTAGGACCTTTTTTAACTCCCTGAGCTGCAACATTAAATACAGGGTCTCTACGTAGTGGGCCCAAGTCAATAAATTCATCCTAATCCAACTTCCACCATTATCCCATACCCTTAATATCCATTCCCATGCCTGTTCTCCAGATTTCGTTTAAATAAATTCGAGAACTCAAGCAGTTCTTTTTGAGTGTACCTCACTTCCTCATGGGTCATATCTGAACCTCACCTCTAGGGGCCGCTGGGACTTTAGTTATAGGTCTAGAAGCAAACAGAGGTGTTGGGGGCTACTCCTGAGGAGAATCAACATTATCTTGCCTGGCAACTGCCTCAGAAAGGCCATCAATGTTGCGTCAGACAGTACAGCATTTATCTCCTCAGACAAATGTGGAAAGGCTAATGGCAGCATGGGCGGGGAAGGGAATGTTGCCACTACTGGGTATGGGGAAGCTGTTCCTTCTGGCAAAAATGGTTCATCAGAGTTTACAAACTCAGTGTCCCCAGCTTCATCAGGGTCCTCCCACACATCCCCATTCCAAGTTGCAGGGTCCCATTCTCTCCCAATCAATGCCCTCACTTTTAACAGTAGACACCTGGTAAGGCTGTGCATGCACCTTTCATTGCAGGTCAGACACTCACATGATAAGAGCTTGTTTCTGTTTTTCTATAATTTCAGCTCTTTCTCTACAGGAGATAAGACTGTCACTCAGGGCAATCTTCACAGATTTGAGGCTCAGTATCTGCTTCTGAAGTCAGGAGACAGAATCCCTGAGTTCATCATTTTCTTTTGCCACTTTGTCCACTGAACTTAGGAGCAACTAAGCAGCTTCATTATGTTTCTTTGTTCACCACATATAGTTAAAGCTATTATGTAAAGAGTCACTAAACTCCCTGCCTGTCATGAATCGGGAATGTCAGATGTATTTATTTTGCATAACTCTAAACAGTTCATACCAAGGACTATCAGTTTTCTCCGAACTATTAGAGTACTTAGTAGTTTGGGGTCTAATCATACTAAGCAGCCAACTCCAGATACCCAAAAACCAATGAAAGAAACTCCATCCTTAATATTCTGTTTCTCTAGAACCACTCCTAGTACCAAAATCTGTATTAGTCAAGGTTCCCTAGAGGGACAGAACTAACAGGATACATATGTGTATATAAAGGGGAGTTTATTAACTTACATGATCACAAGGTCCCACAATAGGCTGTCTGCAAGCATCTAGCACAGGAGAAGATGTAGGCTAGGAGGCTAGGCAAGTCTCATCTTTTCACATTTTTCTGCCCACTTTATATTTGCTGGCAGCTGATTAAATTGTGCCCACCAGGTGAAGGGTGGGTGTGTCTCCCAGCCCACTGACTCAAATGTTAATCTCCTTTGGCAACACCCTCACAGACACACCCAGGATCAATACTTTGCATCCTTCAATCCAATCAAGTTGACACTCAGTATGAACCATCATAATTAGAAAAGGATAACTATTATTTCAACTAATTTTTGTTTCATTAATATGTACACAAAGGCACACATTGGACTATAATGTAAAATATGCCTTTCGTTGTGGGATATAGTGCCTTCATAGTCACCGAAGCTTGAAAAACATTGACTTAGAACATCTTATGACCTAGTCAGATTGTTCGTTATAGCCTAAATCCAGCATGTTTTATTTAATTTTGATTTCTGAACATAAAGATCTGGTCCCTGATGAAGAAAAAGATCTAATGACATCAGACAGTAAGTCAGTGGGGTCTACAGTAAGTCAGAACATAAAGATCTGGTCCCTGATGAAGAAAAAGATCTAATGACATCAGACAGCAAGCCATTATAAACAATGGCTATACTGCTAATAGTCATGACTCACATTGTCCAGTTGTTAGAGAGTAATGTATGGTCTGGCAACCAAAGCAAGTTTTAAATAACTGCTTCTTTTCATATGCTTCACAAACACTTTGAAATGGGCACACAAAATGTCAACATTTTTTATTTTTTTTTATTTTTTATTTTTTATTTTTTTAATTTTTTATTGGATTATAGGTTTTGGGGTACATGAGCAGAGCATGCAAGACAGTTGCGTAGGTACACACATGGCAGTGTGCTTTGCTTTTCTTCTCCCCTTCACCCACATTTGGCATTTCTCCCCAGGCTATCCCTCCCCACCTCCCCCTCCCACTGGCCCTCCCCTTTTCCCCCAATAGACCCCAGTGTTTAGTACTCCCCTTTCTGTGTCCATGTGTTCTCATTTTTCATCACCCACCTATGAGTGAGAATATGTGGTGTTTCATTTTCTGTTCTTGTGTCAGTTTGCTGAGGATGATGTTTTCCAGATTCATCCATGTCCCTACAAACGACACGAACTCATCATTTCTGATTGCTGCATAATATTCCATGGTGTATATGTGCCACATTTTTCCAATCCAGTCTATTATCAATGGGCATTTTGGTTGATTCCAGGTCTTTGCTATTGTAAACAGTGCTGCAATGAACATTCGTGTACATGTGTCCTTATAGTAGAACGATTTATAGTCTTTTGGATATATACCCAGTAATGGGATTGCTGGGTCAAATGGAATTTCTATTTCTAAGGCCTTGAGGAATCGCCATACTGTCTTCCACAATGGTTGAACTAATTTACACTCCCACCAATAGTGTAAAAGTGTTCCTTTTTCTCCACATCCTCTCCAGCATCTGTTGTCTCCAGATTTTTTAATGATCGCCATTCTAACTGGCGTGAGATGGTATCTCAATGTGGTTTTGATTTGCATCTCTCTGATGACCAGTGACGATGAGCATTTTTTCATATGATTGTTGGCCTCATATATGTCTTCTTTCGAACATTTTTTAAAGGTACTAAAACTGCTTCTTTGTCATACTCACCTCAGACTCTCCCAAAATACTCTAACTTCAGCTTCAGTCCCTTGTGTCTCCTCCTTCTCACCTTTCCCCTTTCTTCTCAGTTCTTTATTACAAAGCCCAAAATATCCAATATGGCAAGACAGCACCTTCCTCAGAAGACAGGTGAGAAGAAGAGACTGAGAGAGCCAAGTTAGAATTCTCCTTAACAGGGAAAATCTGGGAATTTTTTGTCTCATTATGTGTATATACAGCTCATCATATATATAATATATAATATATTACACATATACACACACACATATATATATATGCTGTTGACCCTTGAACAGCATGGTTTGAACTGTGCAGGTCCACGTATTATGTAGATTTTCTTCCACCTCTACCATTCCTAAGACAGCAAGACCAATGCCTCCTCTTCCTGCTGCTCCTCCCCAGCCTAGTCAACATAAAATGAGGATAAAGAGCTTTATGATGATCCATTTCCACTTAATGAATAGTAAATGTATTTTCTTTTCCCTATGACTTTCGTAATAACATTTTCTTTTTTCTAGCTTACTTTATTGTTAGAATACAGTATATGATACATATAACATACAAAATATATGTTAATCAACTGTTATCGGCAAGACTTGTGGTCAACAGTAGGCTACTAGTTAAGCTTTGGAGAAGTCAAAAGTTATGCGTAGATTATTGATTACACAGGGGAATGGTGTCCCTAACATCCACATTGTTCAAGGGTCAACTGTATACATATAATGTGAGTGCTTGCAAATATTTATGTAAAGGATTGGATTTTTTCTAAAACTGCCTATACAAACCATATATCAACAAAATAATAATTTAGGGCCAGGCATAGTGGCTCACACCTGTAATCCCAGCCCTATGGGAGGCTGAGGTGGGCAGATCACAAGGTCAGGAGTTTGAGAACAGCCTGGCCAACATGGTGAAACCCCATTTCAATTAAAAATACAAAAAAAAAAAAAATTAGCCAAGCATAGTGGTATGCGCCTGTAGTCCCAGCTACTTGGGAGGCTGGGGCAGGAGATTTGCCTAAATCTAGGAGGTGGAGGTTACAGTGAGCTGAGATCACACCACTGCACTCCAGCCTGGTGACAGGGCGAGACTCTGTCTCAAAAAAATAAAATAATAATAATTTAATATGTTTCCATTGTTATGGCTTCACCTGAAACTATATAGAAGGAAGATAACAAGCATTGAGAAGCTGCCCAGTGGTTTATGGGGGCCAGGGGAAGAGGCTTCACAGGGAGGTTGGTAGAAAGATGCCACACTGAGCAGTTGACTGAACATCTGCTTGTTCATATTGTCCACTCAGGACACTGATAAGCCATCATCATTGGTTGTGACTTTATATAATAGTGGTTTAGCATCTTGTAATTCCTATGAGAGCAGTGCATTCAGAGAAACCTCAGAGGAAGGAACAGGATAGAAGAAAATGAAAATAACTGCAAAAATTATTGTGCTTTACATACTAAAAACTATTCTTTTAACTATTTGCAGCAGCAGATTTGCAAAATCTGAGTCCTCAAACCACCTTTGAAAAGCCACAGTCTTGAGTTCCTAAATGGTAGGTGGTAGACAAAACATTAGCTAGTATTTTCTTATTCTGCAAAAGGAACTGGGTAGTAGAGGATGGTGTTTACTTGCAATACTATTCTTGTCATACCGCCTCCCTTTCCCACATTCCGCAGGGACCCAGCCTTGGTTGCTTACTCTCTTGGATCTAGCTTCCCACTTTTTTTTTTTTTAAGACAGGCTCTGCTCTGTTGCCCAGGCTCTAGTGCAGTGGCACAGTCACAGCTCACTGCAACCTCAACCCTCTAGACTTGTGATCCTCCCAACTCAGCCTCCACACCCAACTAATTTTTAAAATTTTTGTAGAGCTAGGGTCTCATAGTGTTGCCCAGGCTGGTCTCAATCTCCTGGGCCCAAGTGACCACCCACTTTGGTCTCCCAAAGTGCTAGAATTACAGGTGTGAGCCACTGCATCTGGCCTGCTTCCCACTTTTGCAACCAAAGCTGTGAGAACCTAATCCTTCCCTCAAAATGAATAAGTAAGGAAATTGACACAAGCAGTCTGCGTGTCCAGATTTCCCATATATATAACTGAGTTGAAAACAAAGCTGATGTAGGTTTCTTTGTGGTTGATCAGTCAGGATATTCCCCCAAGTCCCCACCCTTTTATTTAAATGTCCAATAAAATGAAAAAAATCCTGTGCACCTTTCATTCTGAAACGTATGGTGTGACAGACAGGAATGGGGCTAATCACGGGGAATTAGAATTGGTGCATAGAAGAGCAGCAAAGCCAAGAGCAGGAATGGAGCTGACAGCATAGCTGCATACACGATTTGGAATGAAAAGCAAGGTACCAGGAGAGAGCACATAAAAATAGCTTACAGCCAGGGAAGAGGCCACAATTAGTTTTGCTATATGAAAATATCTAACTATGATCTCATGGCTTTATTTCCCAATAGAATCCCTCTAACACATGTACTTTCTCAGCTATTGAATCATGAATACAGGAATCCAGTAAACAAAAAAGCTAATAAAAACACATGCTACTAACATATTTTGGAAATAGTTATCTTTTCATTTCTTTTTCTTTTACAGACTTTGAAAGCAAAACTGTGGAACCCTAACAGATCAAATTGGGTGAAATACATAATTACTTAGTAGCATAATAAATACAGAAAGAATTTATATGAATGTTTATATTTAGGGAAGAATAATTTGAAAGATTTACATCAGTCTTAGATAATACCATGCAAGGCAATTAAATCACTGTGACAGCACAAAGGTCAAAGTTCAGTTATTTTGCATTACTGTATCCACTCATGTTCATTTAATAATAATTGGACTTTTCTCAGAAATATCTTGGTGTCAAATGCATTTTTTATAGTACATTAAAATAGAGTTGTCAGTCATTGCATCTGCCCATACGTCTTCTGAAAGAACTTCCTTCTGCCAGCCATACCTAACACCTGCACCTAAGTGGCCATGTTTGCTCAACTGTACTCACCACCTTGGCTTCAACTAATTAGGCCAAACAGATGCACCTCACTCAAGGAGAGCAATCATATTTTCTCTCTCTCAAAAAATTTGAACTGAGACCAATGAGTAAGTTGGTATCTGGGTCAGGTTAATGGTAGTGAACGATGTGCCTGTGAACTCTTCAGAGCTGGTTGGGTTCACCACCTTCATAAGGACCTGTCTCTGTACCATTTTTCCTTGGATGTGCTTTGTATAAGGGTCTAAACAATAAATCACACTTTTTTAAAGCTTATGTTGAATAAGTTTCTGCTTGACAACAGATATGGCCTGAATAAAATGAATTTTGAAAGAAAAGCACAATATTTTTACTATATAATTGCATGGTTTAAGTAACAATTACAGGCTTTTATTAAAGCGGTAATTGCCAAACCAGTGTGCTCAGATATTTTCCAGCTAATAAGACCCTTTACAAATGCCAATTAGGAACTTTTGAAAGCCCAGGAGTCATGTGAAAAACTGCTGATACTTCTGCTGTCTTTGTATGTTTAATAGCTCTTAAGATACAAATCACTTTCTGAAAATTCAGGAGAATTGCAGGTGCATCTTCTGCATTGCTTCTGCACCATCATAATGAAATGGGTAATTTCAAACCCATGACTGTCTTTTGCTTGTGTCCAAAGTCAGCACTTCATTTGATGTTACTGTAAAGAAAGCTTAGTATCTCTGTTAAAAGACACTGATTTTGCACCCTAATCCTACCAATACCGTTGCCTCACCTTGTGGGGTCCTCAACTCAAGGAATGTGACCACAGAGAGCAATACCTGGATGAGAAATCAAATGGTGCTTTGTACAGAGCTGGGCACATTGTGGTTGCCCCTTGTGATAAAATTAAGCAAGATTGGAAACTGATTCAGACCAAGAAGGCCAAGCTAAACTTCCTGCTTCATACCCTTTGAATCAGTTATGTGACTCGTTTATTATATATAACCAGATAGAAAAGCTGGAACAAAGAAAACAACCAGGAACACATCATCTTTCAGTGTAGTGGCCCTCCCCTTTAGTGATTTTCTTTCCATGAGTGTCAAGCTGCAAACAATGCAATAATGAGCTTCTTCTCCAATTGGTGGATATCTAGGAAAGGGATAGAGGAGACTTTGACAGAGTTTTGTCCCCTTTTGGGACATATTGATCCCCATCTCCAGAAATCTGTACTTCCAGGATGAATATGAACTGTCATATGTTTGGACCACCACAGGATGACAAGGATGCTCTAGAATAGACTCCTACAGGAGAATAGAACAAATTTATTTTAATCACCATATCTACTACCACACATTTGTCCCAAATTAATATATGGAATTACACTGGGAGGAAAGTGCTAAGTGTTTGCTATTTATTTAGAAATAATGATGATGCCACTTCAAAAATATTTTTCAGGGTGATCTGGTTTGGCTCTGTGTCCCCCCACAAATTCCATCTTGTAGCTCCCATAATTCCCACGTGTTGTGGGAGGGACCTAGTAGGAGGTAATTGAATCATGAAGGCAGATCTTTCCCGGGCTGGTCTCACAATAATGAGTACATCTCACAAGATCTAATGGCTTTAAAAAATGTGAGTTTGCCTGGACAAACTCTATGCCTGCTGCCATCTACATAAGATGTGACTTGTTCCTCCTTGCCATCCATCATGGTTGAGAGGCCTCCCTAGCCATGTGGAACTGTAAGTCCAATTAAACCTCTTTCTTTTGTAAATTGCCCAGCCTTGGGGATTTCTTTATCAGCAGGATGAAAACGGACTAATACACAGGGAGGTTTGTTTTGTTCTGTTTTGTTTTCTGGCTGATGTACTAGTTCTCACAGTAGCCTGTTATATGTAATAGACCAAAGGGGGAAATCTCAAGTCTCATTTTCCCAGTAGAGGTAATTTTAATTTGAGGTTATTACATATAGTTTCTCTATGTTGTTAAAACTACCAAATTCAACAGCCCTTTATGCTAAAAACTCTCAATAAACTAGGTATCGAAGGAACATATCTCAAAATAATAAAAGCTATTTACGACAAACCTACAGCCAATACTATACTGAATGGGCAAAAACTGGAAGCATTCCCTTTGAAATCGGCACCAGACAAGGATGCCCTCTGTCACCGCTCCTATTCAATACAGTACTGGAAGTTCTAGCCAGAATAATTAGGCAAGAAAAAAAATAAAGGATATTCAATTAGGAAAAGAAGAAGGCAAGGAAAAAAATTAAAGGTATTTAATTAGGAAATGAGGAAATCAAATTGTCTCATTTGCAGATGACATGATTGTATATTTAGAAGACCCTATCATCTCAGCCAAAAATCTCCTTAAACTGATAAGCAACTTCAGCAAAGTCTCAGGGTACAAAATCAATGTGCAGAAATCACAAGCATTTCTATACACCAATAGCAGACTAACAGAGAGCCAAATCATGAGCAAACTCCCATTCACAATTGCTACAAAGAGAATAAAATACCTAGGAATACAAGTAACAAAAGATGTAAGGGACCTCTTCATCACTACAAACCATTGCTCAAGGAAATAAGAGAGGACACAAACAGACGGAAAAACATTCCATGATCTGGTTAGGAAGAATCAATATCGTGAAAATGGCCATACTGCCCAAGGCAATTTATAGATTCAATGCTATCTTCATTAAGCTACCAATGACCTTCTTCACAGAACTGGAAAAAAACACCTTAAACTTCATATGTAACTAAAAGAGAGCCCGCATAGCCAAGACAATCCTAAGCAAAAAGAACAAAGCTGGAGGCATCACCCTAACTGATTTCAAAGGCTACAGTAATTAAAACAGCATAGTACTGGAACCAAAACAGAGATGAGGCCTTAGAGGCAATGCCATACATATATAACCATCTGATCTTTGACAAACCTGACAAAAGCAGTGGGGAAAGGATTCCCTGTTTAATAAATGGTGTTGGGAAAACTGGCTAGCAGTGTGCGGAAAGCAGAAACTGGACCCCTTCCTGACACCTACACTAAAATTAACTCCAGATGGATTAAAGGCTTAAACATAAGACCAAACACCATAAAAACCTTAGAAGAAACCTAGTCAAAACCATTCAGGACATAGGCATAGGCAAGGACTTCATGACTAAAACACCAAAAGCATTGGCAACAAAAGCCAAAATAGACAAATGAGATCTAATTAAACTCCAGAGCTTCTGTACAGCAAAAGAAACAATCATTAGAGTGAACCAGCAACCAACAGAATGTGAATAAAATTTTGCAGTCTACCCATCTGACAAAGGGCTAATATCCAGAATCTATAGAGAATTAAAATGGATTTACAAGAAACAAACAAACCCATCCAAAAGTGGGCCAAGGATATGAACAGACACTTTTCAAAAGAAGACATATATGAGGCCAACGAACATGAAAAAATGCTCATCATCACTGATTATTAGAGAAATGCAAATCAAAACCACATTGAGATACCACCTCATGCCAGTTAGACTGGCGATCATTAAAAAATCTGGAGACAATGGATGCTGGAGAGGATGTGGAGAAACAGAAACACTTTTACACTGTTGGTGGGAGTGAAAACTAGTTCAACCATTGTGGAAGACAGTGTGGCGATTCCTCAAGGATCTAGAAATAGAAATTCCATTTGACCCAGCAATCCCATTACTGAGTGTATGCCTAAAGGATTATACATCATTCTATTATAAAGACACATGCACACCTATGTTCATAGCGGCACTGTTTACAATAGCAAAGACCTAGAACCAACCCAAATGCCCATCAATGATAGACTAGACAAGGAAAATGTGGCACATATACACCATGAAATACTATGCAGCCATAAAAAATGATGAGTTCGTGTCCTTTGTAGGGACATGGATGAATCTGGAAACCATCATTCTCAGCAAACTGACGCAAGAACAGAAAATCAAACACTGCATGTTCTCACTCATAGGTGGGAGCTGAGAACAATGAGAACACATGAACACAGGGAAGAGAGCTTCACACACTGGGGTCTGTTTGGGGGTTGTCCAAGGGAGGGGACAGCAGGGGTTGGGGAGGTCGCGGAGGGATGACATGGAGAGAAAAGCCAGATGTAGGTGACCAGGGAATGGAGGCAGCAAAGCACATTGTCATGTGTGTACCTATTCAACAATCCTTCATGATCTGTACATGTACCCCAGAACCTAAAGTACAATTAGAAAAAAAAACTATCATGGTAAAGACTTGAGGGAGGAATATTCTGTAGAAAAATTAGAGTATTGTTTGTAGAGAGGCATTACATGTATAAAGTAATTAATTGGTCACTGAAATATGAGTTAAGTGTCTATAAATCTTTGCCACTATAGCAAGCACTATTACGGTTGCCCTCCCTACAGTCCTGTCCCATTCTCTTGACCGACAGAACTCTGATATTTTTGGGATGGCTGATGGGCCCAATAAATAGTGAGATATCTAATTTAGTCCCATTTGCCAGTGATTGGCCTAGGGGTAGGTATATGGCCTAGGGGTAGGTATATACCCCTATTGGCCTAGGGGTAGGTATAAGCCTTCTGGAGGCCTGCATGAGAGAGAGAGAATAAATGGTATGCAAGGAGAAAGCACTTTGGCTCTCACCTACTGCCTTCCTGCTTAAAATGCTGTCCTACTGGGATGTAATGCACAGCTTCAGCCATCATTCTGTAGCCACGAGAAGAGACATCACCAGCATAGGAGGGTGGCAGTAAAGAAAGACAGAAAATGTCTGGTGCCTAAGCCTGAGGCTTTGATGGCTTCAAAGAGCCTCTGAACCAACCCTGCATCAACTCCATAATTTCTGTCTAATAAACAATAAATAACTCTATGTTTTAAATTCATGTTAGTGGTGGGTTCTATTACTTATAGACAGTGGCTGCATACTTATATATGTGGCTATATATACTTATAGCTAACAGCTATTTAACTTAGTAGAGAAATCTCTTTCAAGTATTCATTTTAAGGAAATGAATAAGAAATATATTTAAATCATTTGTTTATTTATTTATTTTACATAGAAATAGAAGACATGGTTCTCTTGTTTTAAATAAATAGTTAAACACAACTTGGGTCCTACAAGCATCTGGACTGCTGATCTGAGCACTGGAGTGTCTCACCCGGGGCCCGAGAGGACGCTATGGTTCCCTCCCCCCATGATCAAGACATGGAATCGGGCACCGATGGCTGGATCACAGTGCGCCCCCTTTTCTAGAACCTTCCCTGGCTGTCTACAGGCAGGATCTGGCTGGGAAAGAGACTGGAATATCTG